AATTTAGATAAAGGCCTTTTTTTTAAAGCTTTCAAAATTTATTATTATTTTGGATTTCTGCAGCAAAGGTTTTAAACATTTAGCACAGCAAGCCCCTTGGCAAGCCCTCACTGACTGCCCACAAGGGAAGAAAATACTACTTTACCCTGAAGACAAGGCAGGTCTTCCCAAAGGCAGTCTGTGAAAGACTGTGGAGGAGAGGTGCCCAAAGCCACACACAAGCGTGAACCAGTATGCCCACATTGAGCGGGGTGCCATATTCAGGAAGGTCAATTTTTGTATGCTGAACTCATGAATCCAGGATGACGAGAGAGGGAAGACCAGCATTAGACAAGACAGTCAAGAAAACCTTGTCATGTTTACTAGTCTCAATCCTCAAAGGAATGTTGCTCAATAGGAAGCTTATTTTCCTTCAAGTTTTTGTTTCTCTTTATTAAATATGGACCAACAACAAATGGAAAAAATGTAGAAATAATTCTGCTGCAGCATTTACAAGATTTTCTGCTAACATTAAAAAATATATATAGTCTTAATGTTTATTTTGAGAGAGAGAGAGAGAATGAATGAATGAATGAGCAGGGGAGGGGCAGAGAGAGGGAGCAAGAGAATCCCAAGCAGGGTTCGTGCTGTCAGCACAAAGCCTGATGTGGGGCTCGAATTCACCAACCGTGAGATAATGACTTGAGCTGAAACCAAGAGTAGGGCGCTTAACTGACTGAACCACCCAGGTTCCTAACATTTTAAAACAAGACTTAACAAACACAAAACCAGTTTCTGAAATGTCTTTTAACAGTACCCTACCAGACTAAATGTTTCTGATCCTTGTTTATGATTGAGTTTAGGAACAAAATCTTAAAAGGATATGATTAAATTCTGATGCTGAGATAATACAGCATTAAGGAAGATTTCCAAAAGAAATTCTAGAGTAGGTATTGGCTTTAACTTTAGGGGTACCATTCATAATTTTCTAGTAAAGAATGGAGGCCAGATTGCCTCCTGTTGTGTCACACATAGCATATGATAACCCAATAATTAAGGACATACCTTTTAGTTATTTTAGACAAAATTACATGAATTACATAAGACTGTGTAGGTGTGCTACTTTGGACCTTGCTAACGTATAATAGTCTGTCCAAAATTATTTCACATATAAGGGTATTCATACAATAAAGGCATCAGGGTGAATGTGATGAGTATCATCAATTGAATACTTAACACATTTTCCTAAGCATCTTGTTTAATAATAGCTCCAGCTATGATTTTCCCAAAAGATGACAAGAAACAAAAAATAATGGTGGAGATAAGCACTCATTCTCCAATGTTGCTATTATTAAACTATAATAAACTAAAAATGATACTATATGTATGTTAAAGGGTCTAAAGTCTAGTATTCAGAATTGTAAATCAACTATAATCATCTACATAGCCTCCTGAAATAAATCAACCTCCAAAGAGAACTTTCACACTGCTGAGACTAGGATTGAGGGAGTGCCAAACTTTTAAGCCTCCGTGCATTGGACAGGGACAGAGTGGCTGGTAGGGGGGGCTGGCGTGGGGTAGGGGGGAAGACACCACCTAATGCCTCACCTAGTGCTCCTACCCATCATTTTTTAGGGATCTTGTATGAGTCAATTTTTTTTTTTCAACGTTTATTTATTTTTGGGACAGAGAGAGATGGAGCATGAACGGGGGAGGGGCAGAGAGAGAGGGAGACACAGAATCGGAAACAGGCTCCAGGCTCCGAGCCATCAGCCCAGAGCCTGACGCGGGGCTCGAACTCCCGGACCGCGAGATCGTGACCTGGCCGAAGTCGGACGCTTAACCGACTGCGCCACCCAGGCGCCCCGAGTCATTTGTCCTATATCCCACTTGGATATGTCCTATATACAGAATCTTGTATAATATCTATCTTATATACATGTATCTTATATCATATCAGTATCATGGACAGAGTCCAATCTTAACTCTGCCAGTAATAAATAAAAGTAAAATCTTTGTGCTAAGTATCAATACGTATTACCACTTAGATTTTTTTTCTTTTTCTTTTTGGCTATGTAAACAGGTTTCTTCCTTCATTACCCATTGACTACCAAAGTATGTAACAAATTCAGTGTGACGTTAAGTAACTTTTCAACAGAGTCTAGACAATGGAAAGAGTCCTCGGGAACTATGGCTTTGAGGTTTTGTGGAAATTCGTTTTGTTTTGTAAATGTAAAATCCATTATAAAAATAAAGTTTGGTTAGCATACACTGAATAGCTACGGCTAAAACTAATAACAGTATTTGCATGTTCTGCTTTAAAAATAGTCCAAAGTTAAATCTGATTTGGGCCCTAACATACCCCTCTGTGAAATAGAAACTGAAGTCCTATGGCAATGTAACAATGTAAAGGAAATGCTGCAAAGTGCGACCAGTAAGTTAGGATATACCCAATGGCTTTATGCTACTAACTGATAAGATTTTAAAGGAGAAAAACTCTAAGCTAGCCTGCTGGGGAATTTGAAACATGGCTGTGAGATCTAACACATGCAATCATATCACAGGGGAGGGGGACACTGAAGCTAACAGGGCTGGTCAGAAATCACACATAACTGACTCTCCAGCACTAGGATGGCCAAAGCTTATATTGGCCATTATTACAATCAGTTAACAACTCTACCAAAACATTCTGAAACGAGCCCTTGCAAAGTAGCTTAATGTTCTGTTAGGAATAGGAGTAAAGGTATCCAAGTGGGATATAGGACAAATGACAAGATAAACTTGACCAGTCTCAAAAAGAAACTATGGAAAACAAAGTACACATCATGTGTGTCAAGGGAAAAAAGTTCCTAATACTTAAGATTTATGTAGTTCTTTGTGTTGGAAACACCAAAAGGAGTTGTACATATGAGGCTTGTTCTTTTTGTCGGCATCTTTTAAAATGCATCATATACATAACGCAAAACTTTCCATTTGGAAAGTGGACATGGATTTCCATTTGAATACAGGAAAGGTTAACGACATACATCCTAAAGGCACATCTACCCCTTCATAGATGGATTCAAAGAACTCCTTCTCAAGGTGTGAATTATTACATGATTACTTTCAAGGATGAGAATCTTAACAACAGATCCAAAGTGTCCAAAGAACAGATTCTATTCAGGGTCAAGTCCTAGGCCAGAAGCACCTCATTTTGTTATTTTCTCTCCTCAAAGTTTCAAAACACTTAGGTAAATCAGAGTTGAGACAACTGTAACCAGTCTCTGATAAAAGGACATCACTGATAGGAAGTAAACCTAGAGACCCTGGCACAAAGCAAGTATGGCCGATAGTACATGCTCTGATAAACTTCATAAAGGAGCCAATTAGTCCACTGACTTTCTTCTCCAAAAGATGCTCATCTGTCTTCACATATATCCAGGCTAGGGAAATCTAAGTACCGTATCTGTTAATAGTTCAACACACACAAAGTTCATAAAAGAAAATATGTGACCCACAGCAAAGAGTGAAAAGAGTCAATCAGATTTATTTTTATGCCTGGATAGAAGGCTCATTTATATAATGATAGATCAACCACCTACTTCAAGTTCTGGATTATAGGACATTGACCATTAAGAGTTTTTCCTGCAACAAGGAAGAGTATAATATTTCACATGGAAAAGTGAAACGCACTTTTCACAACAGGAGACTCTGACTTTCCTTATGGGAGAAATACAGTTTTGAAGAGTCCTTACCAACAGTGGCCACTGGAGGCTGGGAAGGATACTGAGAACTCGCTGTGGCAGGATACTGACCACCAGGTGGGTAAGGACAGCCTGGGTAGCCACTAAAAAGAGAGCAAAAAACATTAAATGTTAATATGACAAAGATACTAGAGTATCTTTAAGAATCCCATTCAGGAAGTTAAGTTTGAGATGTTTTATCAGTTAATGACTTTTAGAGTTACGAGTGTCTTCTCAAGCAAAGTGGTATAGAAATTCCATTAACGACACTGGATTTACTCCTAAGTAAATGGTTAAAATACTCTTGCTTGGCCCTGGTTATTTGAGGGTCATCTTCACAGGAGCAGAAAGCAATTAGAGTATTTCTAAGGGCAGTTCAATGGTATCAGAACTGGAAGCAACATATATATTATATATTATATATTATATATTATATATTATATATTATTATATATTATATATTACATATATGTATATATATATGTATATTTATTTGTATATATGTATATATATTTGCCTGTGGTTCATTGATAAGCTTTGTGAATATCTGATCTGAAAATTCTCTTTAAAGTTTTAAAAATTTTCTTCTCACTCTATGGATAGTTTGTGTCACTCATGTATTCGTATGAGAAGGAACTTTCCTTAGAAGTATTCTCCTCCAATCTTTTATCCAACACTGTTTTATAAATATCATTAACAAATGATCATCTGACAAATGGTCATACTTTTCTACTCAACACTAAATACCATTTTGATGTCACTTCCAACTAATGGTCCTAAATTTGCATTCTGGAAAACCACTTGAATAGCAGGAGACTTCCAACATTTCCCCCTCTGTCTTGTCTTCTCTTCTTTGGGTGATCTTTTAAATTCCTTCAACCATTCTTCACAGGACATGATTTTTAGGTCTAATCACTCTCCTCTGAATGTTCACTAGTTTGCTAGTGTTTCACTTACGATGGAGAAGAAAAGTAAAACAAGATGACTACTAGGTACCTGTTAGTTTGATAACGAATTGTGATTAGTCACCAGATCTATGACATTTGCAATTCTGATCAATATGTCTTTTACAAGTCCATTAAAATTACTGATTAAAAACAGCCAGTTCAGGAGCAAGAGCTCTGAGTTTGGAGTCAGTAATCCCCTTTCAGTGTAGTGGCTCAAAGAATCTACTATTTGTACCACCAGCTCACACTTTGTAACTTGTCCCCAAGAAAAACATTTTGTACAGTGTGTTCAAGATTCAGTGTAATCACAATACCATCTATCAGTATAAAAAACAAAATCAAAGAAGAAAAAAATGAAGCATTTATGTTCTTAGCAGATACATGCCAAAGGCTACTGAATGGTACTTTTATTTCTAGTCTTTAGTAGCCCTGCTACCATGGTGCAAGGAAATGGTGCCAATCTTACATTTCTTAATCTACAGTTTTGAAAACTGGGATAGGAGTGCCTGGGTGGGTGGCTCAGTCAGTTAAGTGACTCTTAGATTTCAGCTCGGGTAGTGATCTCATCGTTTGTGAGGTGGAGCGTGGCATCGGGCTCTGTGCTGACAGCATGGAGCCTGCTTGGGATTCATTCTTTCTCTTTCTTTCTTTCTCTCTTTCCCTCTCTCTCTCTCTCTCTCCTCCCCACCTCCCTGCTCACATGCATGGGTGCTGTCTCTTTCTTAAAATAAATAAATGAATAAACATTAAAAAAAAAACTGGGATAAATATGTTTTCTTCCGGGGTTACTCCCATTTTGCACCTTTTTAAAGACAATCTGTGATTACTGCTGAATTTTTCAGTAACTTGGTATAAAACTTTTCTAGGTCTACAGGTATTAGCTTCCAAGAATTCCTTTGTCCCTTAGTTTGTTCCATTTTTTTTCTTCATGGTTATTCTCTATGTTCAGGGTTAATAATTTTTCTTGAGTAAAGAAGTAGTTGAATAGTACTATTTTCTATCTTTGTGCATTATTAAACTAGTTGCCTTAGGCAGCAAATCTTTTCCAAACTTTTAAAGAGCCTTATTTATTTATTTATTTATTTATTTATTTATTTATTTATTTATTTTTAATTTATATATGAAATTTATTGTCAAATTGGTTTCCATACAACACCCAGTTAAAGAGCCTTTTTTAAACTAAGTATTTAAAAAGAATTTTCCAACACTCTAATGTTCCTTTCTCTTGACATACTCCTTCAAATTTTACTTTTTATTATATTTAAGGCACTGTTTCTAAGTGCTTGTGTAGGTGCTAAGATATGAATCCATTTCTTCCTCAGTCCTGATTGGATCAAGGAAACAACAAATGCTAAGTAAAAATTCAAGAGATGTAGAATGGAAAATCACTATCAGAGATCAGGGAAGGTTTCGGGAGATCTGTAACATCTATGAAGGTTGTACCTTTATTCTCTTTCATTCCTTTACTCATAACCCTATATTCTCCAGCCACACTACATACAGTGTTTCCCTATTCTTTCCTGGGATTGGGGGGAGCTATCACACTTTTGCTTACATAAAATGAGTGGGTTGGACTTAAGAACTGGTAAGTATCCCCTAAGTTGTAAAATGTTGTAACTTTTTGCTGCTCTTTGCTTTGGTATTCGGAAATACCAAATTTCCTTTTTTTTTTTTTTTTTTTTTTTTTAATGTTTATTTATTTTGAGAGCAGGCGGAGGGCAGAGAAAGAGAATCCCAAGCAGGCTCTGTGCTGTCTGTGCAAAGCCTGACGTGCGGCTTGATCTCATGAACTATGAGATCGTGACCTGAGATGAAAACAAGAGTTGGATATGTAACCAACTGAGCCACCCAGGCGCCCCTGAATCTCCTTCTGTAAGGTCATCCTCATGAATCAGTTCTCTCATTTATGAAGCTATTGCTGAGCTCCCACTTCTGAAGCAGATGTGAAGTTCTATTGATCGCAGCACTTACCATTTTCTGTCTTTTCTGATACCAGGAACTGGTTCCTAATATCTTATTACATGCTTGCTAGTACACATACCCAAACTGGAACAACTATTCTTGACATACCTTTTAGGTGCCTTGTATACATGCTGCAGGTGCTAAATTAAACTTTCAAAGGATCTTAAGATTTGGAAGAGAACTTAGAGATCATCTAGTCCAACTTTCTATAGCAAGAACAAAGACTCATATTCACTGTTTTAAGATAAAGATTCTTCTTGAGTCACTGATTTATTAATTCTCCTTTAGGACAAAGGGAGAAGAGAAAGAGGTTCTGAAGTTCTTCGGCCAAAACCTTTTATATACAGAAAGAAACAGATGACAATTTGAATATAGTTACCCTTAATGACTCATTAGCATATTATTTATATTTTGAGATTAAAAGTTACATTTCAAAGGAAAAAACCCATCAAATTTCTGAAAAATAGCTGTCTCAAAAAGGAACCTCTTGGGTGTCTGGGTGGCACAGTTGGTTAAGATTCAGCTTTTGATTTCAGTTCAGGTCATGATCTCACAGTTGCTGACCTAGAGCCCTGCATTGGGCCCTGTGCTGGGGCAGCACAGAGCCTGCTTGAGATTCTCTCTTCCTCTCTCAAAAATAAGCAAACATTAAAAAAAAAAAAAAAAAAAAAACAACTTAAAAAAGGACTTCTTACAAATAACCTCACAAAAGACACTTTTATAATTACCTGAGTAAGATTTACAGTTTTGTACTATTTTCCACCTTCATTTTTATCTATGAGTTTCTTTGAAACGGCTTTATTGTTCAGAAGCCCACTTTCTTACTATACTTCCAACAACCATTTCCTCAGGTCCAAAGTTCTTTCTTATTAGCAACTATTAATTGTAAAGCCTTGTAATTTCAAGGCTTCAGACAAGAAGATCCAATTTCTAGAAGTAAATCAGAAAATTAAAGGCCTCAAGAAATCTACAACGTACAGCCTGTTTATATATCACAATCATAGGAATCGTTACTGCCCCTGACAGATGTTCATCTAGTCTCTGTTTACATCTCTAATGTGACAGGATGCTTACTATCTTATAAAGAAAGTCTCTGAAATTAAGAAAGACCCAGAAATAAATGCGACTGCTAAATTTCACTTAAAATCCTGTATATTTAATATGTACATACATCATATCTATGCAGCCAGGAAAGCTCGCTACATTTATCTGCGAGGGTTATATGAAGCTAAAGAGTTAAGCAGGGTTAAAAATTTCTTGTTAATAAAGTGGCTAGAAATCTCATCTGGGCACCAGTATATGCCAGTCTTGCATTTTAAGTCAGCCCAAAGACCACCTTTGGAATGTATTCCTAGATTACCACTGAAACAAGTACACATGTGAACCATGGGTTAATAATTATTTCTCATTGATTTTCTAGTGTGTCTTACTCATAAGACTGATGTATTAATTTAACTTACCTGAGTTATGTTATCATCAAATGGAAAATAAAGGTTGCTAGTACATGTAGTCTATGAATTAAATAAATAAATGCCTGGGGACAAGACTGACCCCATCATGTAAACCATTAATTCATCCCCTGTAATTTACAAAAAAGGGAAGGTTTTTTTTTTTTTAATAGGGTATTAAAGTATTTTTCTCCTTAGTTGAATTCATTAGAATTAGTATTCCATTAACCTTTCAGCTATCTACACTAAATATATAAAGTTCTTAAAAGGGAAGTAGCAAGCAAGGATTTCAAGGTCCAAAGCCAATCAAGATCATTATCATTATCCCACGCCTTCCTTCTATGTAAACAGATTGGAGCTGCACTTATCTAGAATTGAAAAAAATCCTGACCTATATACATACCATTTCACCAATAAACCATTTTACCTTCCATTAAACTGAAACTAAGTCTACTTTGATGCCCTATGCTAGCACCCATTATTTTGATTCTAGAACTAACAGAATTTCTAATATAATTATTCAAAAGATTAATTTTTCATTACCTGGGGTTGGGAGGATATCCAGATGGATATGCAGAGATTCCACTTGGCATGCCTGGTATATAGGAAGCTAAAAATAATTTTTGACATTTTAAAATAATTTGCATAGTCCTGGATACATAGGCTATCAAATAAGACATACATCACTGTCAAACCACTGCAAAATTTCACACAGGTAAAGAATCCAAATCTCAGCACCAAAACAAAACACTCCATCCATATTAGTTCCTTACTGCAAGCAGTAAGTATCTTCAAACCACATAATTCTCAAAGCATTAAATATGAGTTATGACCTTACACATGACAATCCCAACAAGGAATAACTGACAAACAGGTCAACCTGCTCAGCTCTCGACACTCTCCTGAGACAGTAGCTGGTTCAACTGGAATTTAGAGGAAGGTATTTCTGCCCTCATCTGGTCCAAGGTCAGCTTCTTATAAAGTGACCTTTTTATTATATCTAAGAAATATTTTCATATTTCTTGTAAGACTATGTTGACCAATTTGCACAGCTGCTTTTGTTGGTTTGATTGAGAACTCTCAAATAGTTCAAATTAACTACAAGAAGTCCTTTCTGAAACTTAAAAACTTATATTCAGCTAGACTGGTTAAAAACAAAACAAAAGCTTGGAAATACTAGGGGAAAGTTCAAATCTAGCAAGTTTAAGGAATGGTGTTTATATATAAAGTTTACTTATTCATTTTTGACAGAGAGCATGAACGAGAGCGAGCACATGAGCAGGGGAAGGGCAGAGAGAGAGAGGGAGAGAAAGAATCCCAAGCTCTGTGCTGTCAGTGCAAAGCCAGACTTGGAGCTCAACCAGGAACTGTGAGATCATGACCTGAGCCAAAACCAAGAGTTGGATGCTCAACCGACTGAGCCACCCAGGTGCCCTGATTTATATATTTTTTAATGTTTTTTTTTTTAATTTATTTTTGAGACACAGAGAGATACAGAGCGCGAGTGGGGAAGGGGCAGAGAGAGAGGGAGACAACAGAATCGGAAGCAGGCTCCAGGCTCTGAACTGTCGGCACAGAGCCCAACGCAGGGATTGAACTCACGAACTGTGAGATCATGACCTGAGCCGAAGCTGGATGCTCAACCAACTGAGCCACCCAGGCGCCCCTGATTTACATGTTTTTTAAAGAGAACACTAAAGACCTAGAACTAGTTAGTGGTGCCAGGAGACTAATCAACATAGATGAAGAAAAAATTAGTTTCGGCCTTAATTGGAAATGACTTGTCTGAGAATCAATTTATCCTCAGTGAAATTTTTCACACTGAATACAATGGTGAATTAGCTCTTAATCCAATCATAAATATTCTAGTGCCCTCTATGTGACCAGCACCAGGAATTCCTGGCTTCAAGTTGCTTATGGTCTAGTGGGAGAGAAAAGCAAGAATAATAGAGTGATAAGTACTATGACAGGAGAAGTATAGAGCGCCATATATGTGTATGTGTGTGTGTCCAACTGAACCACCCAGGTGCCACAAGGTGCTGGGAGAAGTATGCTGGACTCTGACCAAGGGCCTTAGAAATCTTTACCAGAGTTGCTGAGTATATACCTACAAGTATCAGTGTTCATAGTCTTCCTGTTAGAATGAACTATAGATATCACAGGTAAATTTCTTCTTAAGTATAATGAAGCTAGGATGGTGATGTTCAATGCTATTTCAGAAAGGGAAATATACCTCGCAAAATGTCTCAGTTGCTGGATTCCATAAGACATTTTTTCTTCCTGGGCAAAACACAGTTTTGTTTTGTTTTAAATTTTGTTTTTAACGTTTATTTATTTTTGAGACAGAGAGAGACAGAGCATGAACGGGGGAGGGTCAGAGAGAGGGAGACACAGAATCTGAAACAGGCTCCAGGCTCTGAGCTGTCAGCAGAGCCCGAAGCGGGGCTCGAACTCACGGACCGCAAGATCATGACCTGAGCTGAAGTTGGCCGCTTAACCGACTGAGCCACCCAGGCGCCCCTTGTTTTGTTTTTTTAAGTTTATTTACTTATTTTGAGAAAGAGAGAAAGAGAGAGCACGTGTGCATGCATACACATGAGAGTCGGGGAGGGAGAAAGGAGAGGAGAGAGGGATCCCAAGCAGGCTCTGAACGGTCAGCACAGAGCCTGATGTGGGGTTCAAACTCACGAACTGTGAGACCGTGACCTGAGCCAAAATCAAGAGTCAGACACTTAACTGATTCAGCCACCCAGGCACCCTGAGCACAGCTGATCTTTAAGAACATGAAAACATGAGGCTTCTATTAAGTGTCAGCAACACACATAGTCAATTACTGACCCCCCATGCTAGTTTCTCTTGTACACATAAACCATCACCTCATGGTTAAAAGCAATTCCGCATAATCATAAGCAATTTTCCTTTTCTAAGGTTCTGAAAAGCTACTAATTCCTTCAAATTTTGATTCTTAGAAACAACAAATGTTATTTGAATCCAAGAGTGTCACGGAAGAAGATAATGAGGTAAAGTAAATTCGCAGCCAGAATAAAATGGAATACAAATACACATAATGTACGGAGTTACTAGAGGGATTAAAGAAGAATGAATACAAAGTGCTTAGCTGTACAGTTAAGAGTATACAGTTATAGTTAACAACTCCGTAAATGTTGACTATCACTGTTAGTTGTCCAAAAAACGAGTTTTGGCCCTAACATGTTTTAATGTGACTCATACCTAGCTCAAAGTCATCCTAAAACAGGAGATCAAAAATGTTCTCAGTAATAATAACAGAAGTATACAATCTCTGAACTAGAAGATAATATTTAAGTATATATCCAAATTTCTGGGTTATTCTTTGGTGTGTGTGGGGGAATTTAGACCTTCATCTCTTTACAGTCATAGCTAATAATTGATATTGTTTAAATGTAAAGAAAGTATTAAAACTGGAATCAATGGACAATAAATTGGTCTCTTCTAGTAATTTATTTACATCAGCTCTAGATTTTTAATGTGATACAGTGAGTGCAAAACTGAACTGCAATAATAATCTCTTTAGTGTGGTCTCTTTCTGGAATGCTGCATTTCCAATGTCAATATAAATAAAACTGGAAGAAATTTAGGAAATTAGAACACTACCTAAACTTCTGAAAAGGTTATCTTAAGTGGTCACTAGCTATGTTATTTGAGCAAATATACATGAATGACAAACTAGGAAGTATTTGCTATTTGAAACTTAAATGAGCAAAAGTGTCTAATCTCAGGTACTAGAGTCAACTGAATTTATTAAGATGAAAACAAATTTCTGGCACAAAAGAATCACACTACAACTTTTAGTAAAAGAACTACTAATATCTAAAACCAAACTTAATCTGCAAAGGCAGGGAAGGAAAAGAAAATGGGTTCAGAAATTCTTTCTGTTAGAATCCCATTAGGCTAGTGCATTAAGATGGTCCTCAAGACAGAATGGACTGAAAAGAGGATAATTCCCAGTATGAGAAGAATGAAAGTTCACACAATCTAACTTAAGTCTGCTTAATTATAACCTTAAAATTTGTTAAAAAAAAAAAAATCACAGCTCAAAACACAATGAAATCAATACTAAAAGTCGAAACAAGTAAGTACAACCAACTCTCAATTATTCTAGGGTGATTTGAAAGTATTAATAAGAATTACTTAAAAAAAAAAAGATATAATAGAGATATAGTCCGCTAATTAGGGGAGAGTACTGACTTCATGCTCCCACTTTCTCCACACCAGGTAAAATCAAGAATTGGCTGTACTAAAGAGAAGAAGGCTGAGAGCTAGCTGTCCAGTTGTGTAATAGCCAGAATAGCAGAATGTGGATCATTTAGTTAATTCTGTAATTGATTCTTATCTACAACACTGATTCTACAGTCGCAGAGGAAAGGTCAGACTACCTTGGAACTTATATCTGTTTCCAAACCGATCCTATAAGGCTATTCCATGGCATGCATAATTAACAATTCTAGCTCTATTCCAGCATTCTTTCTCCTCCATTCTGGAATCCAGCACACCCATAGTTAGATTTCTACCCACAAACGAAAGCCCAAATGCCAGTCTTTGGTGGCAATCTGTACATGCAGATGTGCGGCCTCAGAATACCTCCAAAAAATCCACTAAATGGGTAAGCTAAAAAGTGAAGTCATTAAAAAAAATTTTTTTACAAGGTTTTCTGTTTTGTTTTTACAAATTTAAAAATCAAATCTTAATTCTACTTACTATTTGGTGGCCCTGTTGCCTGGTATGATGGATAAGATGCCGAAATAGTAGGACGAGAGAAGACTGGAGGTTCATCTCCAAACACCACAATCATGACCTGAATAAGCCCCAACAAGTCTGACTGTGGCTAAAAACAGAAAACAAATTTAAGTCAGCTACAGACTTCCTTTTTGGCAAAATGGAGAAGAATGGCCATTTCTTACTTGTTTTCAACTGAGCTTGGTAACTTCTTTTGTAGGACCCCAAACATGAAAATTCTACTGAATTAACTTAATAAAGCTAGGTGATTTTCACTTATCACTTATGTGTAGCAAAGCTGTTCCTTCACGTATATAAAAATGACACTAGCCAAAGCAGTATAATGCAAAATTCAGACAGTACTGTTCATTTGACTCTGTACAGCTAACTAAAACTTATTATATTTCCTATGGACAAATTAAGTTTTCTGGTACCAATTCAGGATGAATGTAAACACTAGTCACAAATAATATTTAAGGCCTTTAAAAGATAACAATGCTACCTTGGAAACATGTTCCGAGACTAATTTTCATTAGACAATATTATGAACTCTAAAATTATAGGTATGCTCTGCCTTAAAATCACTAGATCACTGTACAAAAGATACAAATTGTTACAGAATCTTTCCTTCCAAAAATGCTTGTTTTTCCAAAAGGTTGCTACATTTTTCTCTCAAGTATCTATCGACCACTACTAGAAGATAAACTATGCCAGGCAAAGTTGTTCAGGGCAGCTTATTTGATGGTTCCATTTTCACCCCTTGTTATATTTTGCATACATCTCATCTCATATACTTCATTCACTAGTTCATCAGGTTCGGAAGGATTACTTAATCGTCTCGATCAGCTAATCGTCATCTTCACACCTTCTCTTCTCCTAATAGAAGTGTTCACTAACAATTTTTAACTTTCCAAAGCACCAAACTCATCTCTTGCATTTGATTTTCCCCTAACTTACAGACAATGACAATAACACTACAGAAAGCTTCTTGTGAAAACTTGCCAACTCCCACTATTCCCATACCTGTTGTCTGTGAATGTAAAAGCTGAGACTGGGGGTAAGCATGTGCAGTGTGTGTAGCACGGAGGGGCATGGGCTAGGATCGTACCTGGCTGAGGCAGCGTGGCTACAGAGGACACTTTTTTTCTCCTGTTAATTATTTGGTTCAACAAAACTCCCAGCCTAAATCATAACTTCATACGTTTTAAAAATTGAGATATAATTTGCATACCATAAAATTTACCTTCTAAAGTACACATAGTTCAGTGTTTTTTTCCATCACCACTATCTAATTCCAGAAGATTTTCATCACCCCCAAAAGAAACCCGTACCCATTAGTAGTCACTTCCCATCCCCCCCAAACCCCCACCCACAGCCCTTGGCAACCATTAATCTATTTTCTGTCAATGGATTTACCTATTCCGCACATTTCATATAAATGGAATCACACAGTATGTGACCGTTTATATCTGACATCTTTCGCTTAGTGTAAGATTTTCAAAGTTCATCCAGGTTGTAGTATGAATCAGTACTTCGTTCATGTATTTTCATGACCAGTTGTGCCAGACCTAGTTTTATTTTAATTCTTTATCATACCATTAATCTCACACAAAATTCTTTGAAGGAAGAAAAATTAATCTTTAATATCAGCTTCCTGGCATAATGCAAAGCAACAGGTCATGAATTCAAACTATTTCAGAATGACTAATTCAGAATGATACAGGATATGAAAAAAGTAGGAATACTGCAGCCTAAGGACCAACTGAAATAGACCACACCTTTAAAAAATTGCTTTCCCACTGAAAATCCTGCATGTAAAATGCCTCTCTTCTTGAAACCCCCTTTTACTTGTTTTTCCAGCAAGCAATAAAAAGGTCAGATTTTACATTCTAAGTAGTACAGGATACATATTCAGGATTAGGATCAATAAGCAATTTCAATAGGAAGACCAAGCTGAATGACAGCAGCCCCACTTTATGTTCTGTCATGCTAGATTATTGCAGCAGCCTCCCAAGTGGCCTCCAGTTTTACTTAGCACTGGGAGTTTTCTATGAAAGTTCAAGCTCCTTCTTCCATAATAGAGAGCTGTTGCTGAGAATCAACTGTTTGGGCAGGGACCATATACTCCAGCCCTTCTTGCAAGTGGGTTTTATCAATGGACCATAAGCAGAAGTGACAACTTCTAAGCCAAGGTGGATAAGAAGGGAGTTGTTCCTCTACCACTCTCTCAATGCTTGTCTTCCTTAATGCAGGGGACTCCTACATCCTGGAAGATGGTGGTACCACAAACTGGGAAGAGCCTCTGTCCCTGGCACCAAGTAGAGGAGAGCTGCTTGCCATGAGGAACACTCCCAGTGGACTATAACGTGGGCAAGAAACTTCTACAGTATTAAGCCTCTTAGCAGTTTGGGATTTACATTTTAAAGCAGTTAGTGACTATTAGAGAGCAAATCAATGTATTCATCTGGTACACTTCATCAGACATTATACCTAATATTCATTGCTTCTAATACACTACTCTTGTTCAAGTCTAAAAAATGACTCCCAACTGTCTACTGAAGGACAAAGTCCTTAGCTAACAATCAGGATACTTCATGGTATAGCCCCGAACACCATAAAGTTAGCCATCGTTGTGCCTTTTCTGTGAGATTTGTGAAATCTGTCATACATACAGAATGTATGACATATGTAACTGTATTTATTATTTTATTTTATTTTTTCAACGTTTATTTATTTTTGGGACAGAGAGAGACAGAGCATGAACGGGGGAGGGGCAGAGAGAGGGGGAGACACAGAATCGGAAACAGGCTCCAGGCTCTGAGCCGTCAGCCCAGAGCCCGACGCGGGGCTCGAACTCACGGACTGCGAGATCGTGACCTGGCTGAAGTCGGACGCTTAACCGACTGCGCCACCCAGGCGCCCCGACATATGTAACTTTAAAGAGTAATCATAAAGAAAATGCCTGGGAGCCATTATCCATGTTAAGAAATAGAAGACTGACAGTAATTTAGGAGCTCCAGACTGCATCCCCTCTATCTACTCGAGAGGTAAACCACTTCTCTGATTTAGTGGATAATCATTCCTTTTGTTTTACTTTAAATGTACTACCTTATGAATGATTTCCTAAAGTTTAAACTGGCCTGTTTTTGAACTTCATACGAATTTAACCAAAAGCTGTGTATCTATTGAGATTTGTTGCTTTTGTTTAGTCATGTTTGTAAGATACATTCCTCTTAAAGAGTATAGCTATATTTAACTCGTTTTCATTGGTGTATACAGTAGTAAAAATACTACAACTTCCTTATTCCTTTTCCTGTTCTTAATGGTCAGCAAAGTTGCATCCAATCTTCGGGAATGTAGGCTATAGCGATTCTTGCTGTATTTCTTAGTACTTATGTACAGGGTTACTCTTGTGCAGCGGTTCTCAACTGGGGGTGATAGATTTGCCTCCTGGGGGATCTTCAGAAATGCCAAGAGACATTTTGGTCGTCACGGCTGGGCATTATGCTATCGGCATCTTGTGGGTAAAGGCCAGAGATCCTGCATTTTACAACGGACAGGATAGCCCTTCCACAATAAAGAATTAACCAACCTATGATGTCAAAGTGCTGAGGCATATACCTACGTGTGGAACTGCTAGGTCATAGGGTGTGTGCCCACAACTTTACTAGGGAATGCCAAACTGGTTTTACCTCCCACTGGTGACACTGAGGTATTCTCTTTCTCCATACCCTAACTTTTAACACTGCCAATTGGTAGTACAAATTTGATGGAAATGTAGTGTCATCTCATTGTGATTTTAATTTACATATTTCCCTCACTACTAGCAGGGTTAAACATCTTTCCATGTTTACTGGAAATGAGGATTTCTCTTTTGTGAAGTACTTGTTCAACAGTTTTATTTAAGGGTCCCTGGGTGGCTCAGTTGGTTAAACTTCCGACTCTCGATTTTGACTCAGGTCATGGTCTCACAGTTCGTGAGATTGAGCCCAACATCTGGCTCTGAGCTGACAGCTCCAAGCCTGCTTAGGATTCTCTCTCCCTCTCGCCCACTCTCTCTCTGTCAAAATAAATAAACTTAAAAAAATATTAAGTCTTTAAAAAAAAAAAAAAGAGTTTTACCTATTTTTCTACTGGGTTCTTTCTTTTATGATTCCCAAGTTATTTTTACATTCTGGATGGTATTATTCTACATTATTCTGAGGGTATTAAGTATTACAGATATATTCTTCCAGTTTGTGGTTAGTTTTTTCATACTTTTCAATGTGTCTTTAATAGAAGTTCTCAATTTGTATAAGTTTAAGGTAAAACTTATCATTCTTTTCTTTCCAAAGCATTAGTAAATGCTTTGCGTCTTGTTATAAACAAAAACAAAAACGGGTATCTGCGTGGCTCAGTCGATTAAGCAACTGACTCTTGATTTTGGCTCAGGTCATGATCTCATGGTTGTGGGATGAAGCCCTGCGTCAGGCTCCAACGCCGAGCATGGATTCTCTTCCTCCCTCTCCCTCTCTCAAAATAAATAAAATAAACTTAGGAAAAAAAAAAAAAACTTACTGCAAGATCATGAAGGTAATCTTCTATACTGTTTTTTTCCTTTTGCTTTTCACAATCTACCTAAAATTTTTGTGTATTGTATGAATAGGAATCCAACTGCCCCAGCTCCATTACTGAAAAGTTTGTCTTACCTCCTGTCTTAATTACTAGTTTTATAATACATTTTGACATCTGGAAGGCAAGTCCCTTCTACCTTATTCTTCTTGGAGAGTGCCTTAGCTATGCTCAATCTTTTGCATCTCAATATAAATTTTAGATTCAGCTTATCAAGTTTACAAAAGTAACAAACGAATATACAAAGAAACAAAAACTATCAGGACAAAGACCAAAGTGTAAAGAACCATGAATAAGGTTCTCTCTCCTTTAAGTCTTCTTTCTTTAAGGTCTTTCAATAAAATTAAAATTTTTTTCCATAATGGACTTGTAAATCTTTTGTAAGGTTTATTCATAAGTCATTAGCATTAAAAAATATAAAGTATTCATTTATCAGTTCATTACTTCTCTATTCTGCTGAATCCAATCTGCTACTAAACCTGTGTGTTGAGTTCTTAATTTGTATTATTCTCTTTTCCAGGTCTAAGATTTCCACTTGGTTCCTTTTTAACATAATTCTCCACCTTGAACATATTAATCACAATCATTTTCGAGTCTGTGTCTGGTAACTGGAATACCTGGGGGTTGTGGTGTCCAGTTTCTACTGTCTCTTTGTCTCTTTCCCCCTCTTTGTCCTCTTTCTTGACGTGCTTGATAATTTTAAATTGTATGCTGGACACTGAAAAATTACAGACGCTCTATACACTATCTTTCTCTAGGAAGGGTTTACCTTATGGCAGGCAGATACTATGAGAATCACCTTAATATAATCAAGACTGAGCTGATTCAAGGCTCTTGGAGTGTGTTCCTCCAGTGACATCATCTAAGAGCCTAGGATGTTTACTTACACCCCTCCTCCTTTTTAAAAAAAGTTTTTACTTATTTTGAGAGAGAGTGAGAGCATGCGTGCACAAGCAGGGGAAGGGCAGAGAGGGACAGAGAGAGAATCCCAAGCAGGCTCCACGCTGTCAGTGCAGAGCCCAACACAGGGCTCGATCTTAGGAACTGTGAGATCATGACCTGAACCGATACCAAGGGTAGGACGCTTAAGTGACTGAGCCACCCGGGTGCCCCCCTCCTCCTTGATAAGGTTCCAAACTCCTAGTGTCTCTTCAACCTGGGACTGCAGAAAACTTGGCTAGGTTTTTCAGAGGCTTCTGCTTAGCTTTTTAACCTGTCTTTGAAGCTTTTTAACCTGCTTATCGCTTGAGGGGGCAACTCAGATTATCTGGTTTGCTTCTTTGTAGCTTCCTCTTCTCCTATTATCTTGGCTCCTAAAGTACTAGCTATGTTAGCAGACTGTCGTCTTTTGAACACTGTGAAACTGCTAGAAACTCTGTAGGCTTCTTTCCCTCTGAGCTAAGCGTCCCCAACCCAGATTCTTAGTCTCTCACCCTCTATCAAGAATCAGTAAACACCTGTAGGGAAAGTTGGCACAAGGTTGGTTCATCTCTTTGCAGTTCCCTTCTCTATAGGATCTTGGCCCCTCAAATCCTGATTGCCACAACAGTTCTCCAAAGCCTTCCACAGATGTCTGTACTCTGACTTTTCTAGTTGTCTTTGACGGTAACATTGGTCTGCCAGAGCTATACCAGCAGAGACAGAAACAGAAGTTTCGTACTACTATTCCTACTTGATAGGAATGCTCTGAGTAATGAGATTTGAACAGTTTTACAAATATATGCCACCTACACTACTTGTTAAAATGCATTTCCCATTATGTGAATCCCATCTATTCTTAAAGGTTCAGCTCAAGCAAATAAAATAGTGACTATGTATATTCTGTAAAGTACCAAGCTCTACACAAATATATTGCTTTTGGAGAACCTTTTCCAATCATCCAGCTCAGTGATTGGTATCTCATGTGAACTTCTCTCTCCTCTTGGGAATCCTCTTTGAGTGTTAACAGAAAGTAGATTCTAGGGAGCAAAATAGATAAAATGCAATAAATCCACAGAAGACTGTTAATACTTACGTGTTTCCATTCATGTAGATAAGGAAGATATATCTTCCCGTTTGCATCAACATGCTTTCCTGTTTTAATAGTCATTGAACTAGTAGGTTTAACAAAACAGATAGGGGGATTATATGGGTATGTGTCCAGCAGCCACAGGCATATTGGAATATTATATATATTACCTGAGAGAGAAAGAGAAACTTCAATTACTCTATTATTTTTTAATAATGGCTTAGTAGGTAAGCAAGAGAGAGCTACAACTAAGCAACACTTAGAAGGAAAACCACAAGAAATATTTTAGGTTTCAAAGTTCAGTTTAAGGTGTTTCTCAAATTTTCAGTTTGTAAAATACATCAGCAGGATTAAGGAGCTAACTGATCACTACTCTGCCACTGTCTGCTTGCTGCTATAAAAACATTCTTTGCAAGTTATCTTATGGATAACCTTGCAACTTTAGTCTTGTCATTTCAGTTCATAAGGTTCACTGGGAAGGGATATAAAAGGAAGACTACGGATTATGGTGTCCTATCAGAAAGTGACAGAAGAAGCTACACTTGAAACTCCCTTGCCAAAAGCCAGACTATAAGACCGAAACAAACTGCCAAACAGATGTTGATCGGTGGCCACAGCTTGACCGGTCCTTATGTTACTCAGAATCAATGTCATCCCTGTTTCTTGCTTTAGGTAACAGAGTCTCTCTCAGTTCAGGAATTAGACTCAGTGTAGTCAAACTGAACAGTGTTTCAAAGGAACAACAGTTAGCATACTGAACATAAGCCATCTCCTTTTCTTACTAAGCTCAAAGCCCAATGTCCCAAATAATCATTTGAATCACCTAACATAATTCAGATGCATTTTTCCCCTTTGGAAGCAGTTTCACTTCACATGAATATATACATATAAATTGCACTTAAATCAGACAGCTGTGGGACTTTGGATTTATTTTTTACTCAAAACTACATCTACAATGGAAAAAAAAAAAAAAAAACAACTCCAATAGAATATATCCTAACATAAAACATAAGTTTATTTCAGTTACCCAGAATTCTCTGCTTTGTGACAATAAAGAATTCTACAGAATTACTTAGGCTTAGGAACTATGCCATATGAACGATAGTAAGGGAAGAGAAAAGGTAGTTTAGATTATATATTTTTCATACATGTTCTAATATATATTTATATATTATACATTCATATTCATATAATATGTATTCATATATACATGAAATATATATATATAATTTTTAATTATGCCATAGTTTGCTGCCTCCCTCTCCCCACCATACAACTATTTCTCCCACCCAAGTTTACTTCCTGAGGGCAAAGTCAATAATTTTGAATTTTACTCAGTCCTTCCTAAATTCATCATAGCTGCTTTATTCAATGCCAATGCTCAAGTGTTTTTTCTCTCTGTCTGGAACATCCATTCTGATATAAATGGTTGACTCATCCTTTTATACCAAATTCAAATTTTATTTCCTCCATGATCTTCCCACATGGTCTTATTCTCCTCTGTAATCTCATTGCACCTTTACATTTTATCATTATACAGCAGTTACAGGACACTGTAAATAACTATTCCCTCCGTTTCTCCTACTTGTGTAAGTTCTTCCAGAGAAGACACATCCTTTATTCACCTTTGTATCCACAGCCCCATCCCCTATGCTTCATGCACAACAGGTACTATATAAAATCAATGGATATATTACACAGACACAGGTCTTAGGTAGTCACGAGGAATAATTAAGACACAGAACTGTCCAAAAACAGAACAATCGTTTATGAAACTGAATGCTCCCTCATCACTGTAAGTATTCCAGCAGAGACTGGCTAAGAAAGACTTAATTATCCATCATCAGCATTATCACCAACATTATAGCCATAAATAATAGCTACTTTTGATATCTGTTTATTACATACCAGGCTCTGTGCTAAGTCCTTCACATTATCACAATGAATTCGTTTTTTTGAGTTAGTTCTATTATTCAATTGTTACGATGTCCATGGTCACATCACAAAACTGACAGGATTACAGAGACAGAAGTGAAACCTCACTCTGCCCTGACTTTAAAGCCTCTACCTTAGCCACTATACTATACAGCTTCCCACTGTTGGAAAAGCCTGGATGGGATGGCAGGCTGAACTACAAGGCATCTAAAATCCCTTTCTAGGGGCACCTGGCTGGCTTGGTTGGTAAAGCACGTGATTCTTCATCTCAGGGGTTGTGAATTCAAGCCCCTACATTGGGCGTAGAGGTTACTTAAGAATAAAATCTTTGTTTAAAAAAATCCTTCCTAGTTATAAGATTCTCTGATTCAATGAAACATCAAAATCTTCCAGGGCACTGAGGCATTTATTTCTTGACATATCTTTATAAAGAAGTCGGGGGGAAAAGGTGAAAGTATTAGGTGCTGCTGCCAAATGAAGTTCAATTAGAAAAAAAGTTAAAAATATCTATATCCTCAGGGCACCTGGGTGGCTCAGTCGGTTAAGCGTCTGACTTCGGCTCAGGTCATGATCTCACGGTTCGTGAGTTTGAGCCCCGTGTCAGGCTCTGTGCTGACTGCTCAGAGCCTGGAGCCTGCTTCAGATTCTGTCTCTCCCCCTCTCTCTGCCTCTCCCCTGATCATGCTCTGTCTCTGTCTCTCAATAAATAAACGTTAAAAAAAATTAAAAAAAAATCTGTATCATCATGAGAGTCATAGAAAGTAGGTTTAATTTACTTGTAATTCTTTGGCAACCTACTAGGTGAATCGCAATGCATCTATACTGGACACATAAATTACTTAAGATGCTTACCTTTATAAGGCACAGGAATTGTTCCAGTGAGGTTCATTAGTTCCCTGGAACTGCCATCATTAAAAACTGAAAGGAAAAGAATAATGATTTAATCCTGAGCATCTTCACAGACACTCCCATATAAGTTATTCTTTCAGAAACACTGGTTAAAATTCATGATTACCCTTGAAAGGAGCGAACTTGTTAATGTCCATTAATCATCCATTTTGTCCAACAACAAAATATCCCTTGTTGATTCACTCAATGGGATCAGTTTTTAAATGAGTAAAGAAAAGATCCTTTGAATTACTTGGAAAAATGAATGTGAGTGCTACAGTCCTGGTAAACATAAGCTCTGGGTCCCCAACTAATATGATTATGAAGTTACTTAAAAAACACTATCAACTGACACCATACTAAATGTTAATCTAATATCATTCAGTTTTAGATTGCTCAGATGTTTATCCCTACTCAATGTCATTCTCAATCTGAATGTAGTATCAAAACACAGTATTAAAAAAAGTTCTCAAATATAGTCATCTTTTGATACAAACGTTTCTCCTATCATGTAAGTTTTTCTATCTGTAATTGATTATAATTAAGGCACGTAATTTATATTATTACATGGACTGCTATTATTTGTCATAATCATTTGGAATTAACACCGTATCACACAGGGGAAAAGCTGTAATGTGCACTACAAAGACACAGAACTGCAAGGCTGACCTCAGTTCTTTTACTTACTATTGACAATTACAATCTGTGCTATAATTTATCCTAATTTTGTACATTTCTAAAAACCACCTTATTTAAATTTAGGGCTTTCACTACTTTAAAAGCATGGTGATAATAATGGTTTAGACTTGGTCCAGCCATACAAACCTATATAAAATTTACTCAGTGATGTTGGGGTCTGTCAGTTTAGGTAAGCATATTTACTCTTTAGCATCCGGTAAAAACCAAACACTTAAAGTTCTGGCCACAGTCACTTTTTTCCCTTATGGAAGCCATTTTTAAATTAACTCTAATTTTGGGGCGCCTGGGTGGCTCAGTCGGTTAAGCGTCCGACTTCAACTCAGGTCATGATCTCGCTGTCCGTGAGTTCGAGCCCCGCGTCAGGCTCTGGGCTGATGGCTCAGAGCCTGGAGCCTGCTTCTGATTCTTGGTCTCCCTCTCTCTCTGCCCCTCCCCCGTTCATGCTCTGTCTCTCTCTCTCTCAAAAATAAATAAATGTTAAAAAAATAAAAAATAAAAAAAAATAAATTAACTCTAATTTTGGTAATATGAGGCTTTTCCCAGATCTAAGTACAACAGTACAGTATGTGGACAGGAAGGAGAATCATGCCCTCGGTTTGGGAGAGGAATTCCTGTTCATGTCTTTGCTATTCGGAAAATTCAGGACTGACTGCCTCTCTATCAACCCTCACCTCTTGTCACCAAGCTCCTAATGTTTTCAAAGCCCTTGGAGTGAGTGGAGTTTAGAATGACAGTTTCACCTACAAAATTCAGCTCTTAGCCCTCGGTGCCAAGAGCCTCATGATGGACAGGAGGCAGCATGGGTATTCCCTTGGCCCTGGCATTTTTGGGGTTTATAAGGACACAGAGTTGGAGAGATGACATTAAGATTGGTGAAGAAAAAAAGGCCTTTTAAGAAGAAAAAAAAAAAAAAAACTCTAGGTATTGTCATTTCTTAACTCGCAATTTTATTTCATCTCAGTAGAAAGTGGACACACGTTGTCACCTATCTACTCTATAGAATTAAGGACCATATTTAAAAAACTGTTTTCCTCATCTATAAAATGAAAGAGGTATTCCAGAATATTGTTTTACAAAATGTGTTCCTAGGAATATAAAGAGATGCTCTGGGGAGGAAAAAAAAAACGTCCATAGCTAATCAGCTTTAGGGTATACTGTATAGTTGACTCTCTTCTCTTCTCTGTTGGTGAGTATAGGCTCTCAGAAATCTTGCTGCAAAGAAACCCATTTAATTTTGTTTAGTTTATGATTGTTCAAACTGATCCCTCCCATCCCCACAAGAAACAGTCTTCATAACTGTGGATAAAATTTGAGTAGATGAAACTAAACTATTTTTAAGATCTCCTTTAGGTCTAAATTTGCATAGTTCTGTTAGAGTATTTTTTTAAAACTTAAAATAGCTAAACAAATAAGTTATTACTAGATCGTGTCATTTCTTGTCCAACACTTGTTTAGGTGGAGGTTCAGTCCTACAAAGGAAACACCAACAAACTTAGAGGAAAATGGGAAACCTACAATTATTAAAGAAAAGAGTAAACTCAAAGGACAGCAATTGATATTTTTATTATATAAACTCACCATATGAATCCAACACAGGTTTGAGATCTTTGTATAAAGTAATAACATTGACAGTTTCGCGTACAGTTAGGTCTCTGTATTTGTACTGAAAAGCAAAATCACACAGGAATTTAGTTTAAAACCAATGCACATTATTTTACTGCCTAATTTTCAAAATTCTATTTTCTTAATAGAACTCTTCTTAAAAGTATAACGGTTCTCACTAATCATTAACATTAATTAAAGCCTGAAAGAACCTTGATAGCTTTCTCTCCAGCAACCTATTCAAACCCTTTACTCACCTCCATTTTAGCTCTTCTTTCCAACTGGAAATACCCTCCACCAAATCAAATCTTAACCTTTTTCAAACCTAGCTTTCACCTCTCTCCCCCTTCTTAATGAATCCTTTCCCCAACGTCCTTTTAGCCCATAATGATCTCTCCCTTTCCTCCAAACTCCATCATTTATTGTCAATACCAATTATTTTGAAAGTTTTCATTTATTGTACTGTATTTTCATACCCCCACCTTGTACCACTCCACTCCAGGAAAACAAGAACCTGGTTTACACATTCTTGACGGATTAGGAGAACAGGAGATGGCGACCTCCATCTTATTACAATTATCGAATCTCACCAACTAACAAGCTCCATCCTTGCACACAAAGCTTTCAATCAGCTTTTAGTACTTCTCGCTTAAAAAGAAGCAATCAGCGGGAACCTACATGGCTCAGTCGGTTAAGCGTCTGACTTCTGTTCAGATCATGATCTCCTGGTTTGTGAGTTCGAGCCCCGCGTCGGGCTCTGTGCTGACAGCTGAGCCTGGAGCATGCTTCAGATTCTGTGTCTCCCCCTCTCTCTGTCCCTCCCATGCTCATGCTCTCTGTCTCTCAATAATAAATACACGTTAGAAAGTAAGTAAATAAATAAATGCATGCATGCAATCAGTTACTCCAAAAAGAAAGACTCCAAGAAACAGGTCAGAGACCAAAACAAACAGAAAAGAAGGAATTAAGAAGTAACAGAAAAAAATGCAAGGAGCAGAAGAAAACTTCAAAAAGACTTAGCTTTAATACCTTCATTCATGAAATAAGAACACTCGGAGAAGAAAGGACTCTTGGACACAAAAAATGTGACAGTTGGGAAAGAAAGCAGTAGGAGGATTAGAATATATGGTCAAAGAAATCTCACAGAGATTAGTGCAAAAAGACATAGTGTAGCCAGACAATAAGGGAGAAAACACAAGAAAAATCAGGGAATCAATCCAGAAGGTCTACTGAAAGGAAACCCTTCAGCATTTCTTGCCTTCTTTCGTCCCGAAGTACCACTTGTTCCATGCTATGGGATCAGTCCTATTAGCACACAAACCTGTTCTTATTTCTACCATCTTATTTGCACAAACATGCTCCTGACCAGCCCCCTTCCTCAGCAGCTACAACCACACTTCTCACGGTTCCCCTGTATAGCAACTCTTGCAAAGAGCTCCCTAAATTTGCTGTCTGTGGTTGCTCTTTTCCTATTCTCTCTTTTTAGAACTTTTTTATTATGGAACGTTTCAAACCTATCCAAACGTAGGCAGAATAGTACAATGAGCGCCCTATATCGTACACCCAGCTTCAATGATAATCAACTCACAACCAATCTTAACCTATCACCTCATTCACCTTTTCCTCCTCCTTTATCATTCTGCAGCAAACTGTAACATCATATCCTGTCACCCATAAATAGTTGTGTATACCTTTAAACAAACTTTAAAAAACCCACAATACTATTATTATAGTAAAATAATCCGTTTCCTTAATATTTTCAAAGACGCGGTCATATTTGTTTGAATAGAGATCCAGGTAAAGTCCATACATTGCTATTTTGTTTAGATGTCTTTTAGGTGTCTTTTAATCTATAGATTCCCTCTCCCATCCTTCTGTTGATAATAGCTTTACTGAGATAATCAGTAATTCACATACCCTATAATTCACACATTTAACGTGAATTATACAAAGTTCAATGGTTTTCAGTACTGGGCTGTGCAACCACAATTTTAGAATATTTTCATCACCCCCAAAAGAAATTTGTACCCTGGGGCATGTGGGTGGCTCAGCTGGGTAAGCGTCCAACTCCTGATTTCAGCTCAGGCCATGGTCTCAGGGTTTGTGAGTTCAGCCCTGCATCCGGGTCTCTGCTGTTGGCGCCACTTCGGAATCCTGTCTCCCTCTCTCTGCCCCTCCCCCACTTGCGCTCACTCTCAAAAATAAACATTAAAAAACATTTTTGTACCTTTAGCAATCATTCCCTCATAACTACCCCCTCCCCCTCAATTCACCTTAGACAACTGCTATTTTGTTTCTATCAATTTGCCTATTCTGGACGTTTCATGTAAATGGAATCATGTAATATGTGGTCATTTATGATTAGCTTGTAATGTTTATTTATTTTTGAGAGAGAGAGAGCAAGCAGAGGAATGGCAGAGAGAGGGAGACAGAGGATCCGAAGCAGGCTCCCCTGTGAGCTCCAAGCCTGATGTGGCCCCAAACTCACAAACCATGAGATCATGACCTGAGCTGAAGTCAGAGGCTTAACTGACTGAGCTACTCAGGTGCCCCTACTTTTATTATCCTACTCACTATTCCTACTTCTCTATTCAGAGGCTGGATAGAAAAGAAGTTGATACTCAGAACTGACATTACCACTTGTAGGAGACTCAGTTTTTCAGATATTAGGCCAAGAACCAAAAGTTAGGTACAATGTCCTCTCCCACCTCTTCTCTATGTCCTTTTTTTGTTCTTAGGGAAAAAAGGAGGAGGACGGAGGGGGAGGCAGGTGGAGATACAAAATATCTTCTAAAGATGTTCTGCCTCTGTCTTTGAAGGCAGGTCCCTCTGCAGGAAGGTTAGGAAACTTGATTCATGATGGTTTTTAAAATCCAAAACCATTATTTGAACATTCTTGTCCTTATATACTTCTAGATACAGGCTAAGGAATATAAGTGACTTTAATGACTATGCTAGCAATTTAAACATCAAAAATGACATGGAACGAATACTTGTCAGTTACATCGTATGTAAAACAATGTATTGTCTTTTAAAGTGATGTATAAATGTTTTCAACATAGACCTGGGCCATAATCTACTAGGGTTCCCCCAAATGTCCTCTGCAATTAAGGAGAACTATCAAAAGAAAATCAAGAAGCCTAGAAGAAATTAGACAACCAAGAGAAATTTTATTTTGAAAACCAAAACTTTCTCTTTACAGGTTATTTGCTCTTCAACCAATGGCTATGGGGACTGTTTTACTGGGGAGGAATAGTACATTTTTCAAAGAAATAAATTTATACATAATAGTGAGTTTTGTTAATAATGAAAACTGCTTAAACTATTTCGATTCCTACCATTCTTGCTTTGACAAAAGTCTCCAAAGCTAACCCGTTGAACTGGAGAAGAGTCAACTCTCAACCCCCTCACACACACCTTATTCCTAATTAGTAAATCGAAAGAAAAACCCCCACCTGAAGTCAGTTCACTGTTATCAGGTGCCACACTTAAAGTAATTATCAAAATAATTCATGGCTTTAAAATACAAAATGTCTATCTACTTTTTAAGAATTAAAAAAAAAAATACACCGGTCTTGAACTGTGAAGATTAAAAATTAAGTTCAAAGCAAAGAAGTTCGCGTTGTAAGAAGCCTACAATTCATTAAAGGCGGTTATTCTCAGCAAATCAAAGTCTCTGAGGCGGTCATGGAATTCTATTTATTCCATCGAGGTAGTGAGGTACTGGTATTTAGGCTTCTCTGGACGTTTTTACTTATAATTGAACCGATTCAATCAACAGTTCCTGACCTCCGCGGGTCGGGTGCTGAGCTGTGTGAAAAAGACAAAACTGAAAAGGACACAATCTCTGGGGGCCGGGACGTAAGGGCGAAGACTGACGGATCCCTACACCGGGACAGAAGTGGAATGCCTCAGACCGAGAATTAAGTCCAACCCCCTCTCTGTGTTTATAAAAACTAGGAAGAAAACTATACTGCCCCACAGACTGTTCCAAACTCTACCCGCAGAGAGGAGGGCGGGCGGCAGGTGGCAGGCGGCCTCGGTTCCGCGCCTTTGTTGACCGTCGCCGCCCCCCAACCTCCCCTGGCCACGTATCGGGGATTCCGGCACAAGGCGACAGGCATCTCGGGGCCGCAAAGGCGACAGAGGACGGCACTGGGCCTCCGGCCGGGGAAGCACTCTGGGCTGAGTCCGGCCAGGCCCCGCCGGGCGCCGAGGGGAGTGGTGGGCGCGCGCCGGGTGGCCGGCGCGCTGAGGACTCACCTTGGACACCATTTTTTTGAGCTGGCTCTCTGACACCGCCATGGCGGCCGCCTGGCGACTCCCGTCCCCGCAGGCAGAGGGTCAGCCGCTCCGGGGCCGCCCCAGGCCGCCCCACACAATCACACACCTAGTAGCCAGCCCCCCACCCCCCCGCCTCTAACAACAGGAAGTCGGCCACCAGGCCAGCTCTTCCGCTTCCCTGACGTCACTTCCGGGTGGCGGGGCGTGGGGTGGGTTCCGACTCGTATCTTGATGCGCTCTGCTCGGTAGGCCGGGTCGGGTCCCAGTGATCAGGACAAACCTGTTGCGAGGGTCGAAACCCTGGGACAGGATAAGATCAGGTGTTTCACGGTTGCCTTAGACTAAGGGAGCAGGTGCAGGGAGGGGAAGTAGGAAGGTTTTGCTAGTGAGCGTTAATGACCATCAATCACGTGCTTTGGGAATCCTAAAACTGTTGTGCGCCTAACTTGCCCTTGTGAGAATAGAAGGCAAGTGCACTTGTAATCGGGGCTAAAGTTTTCCCCCAACTCTGAGATGAGAGGCTAGCATTACATGATGCCCAGGGTCTCTCTGATTACCAGGTTTTTGTTTTGTTAGCTTAAAAATCTTTCATACTACATTCACAAGGGCAAAGTGCAGAGCCCTGGTTTCCCAGGAATCCAGACGGTGATTTCTTTCTTTCTTTTTTTTTAATGTTTATTTTTCAAGGAGAGACAGAGTGAGTGGGGGAGGGACAGAAGCAGAGAGAGACACACACAGAATCCGAAGCAGGCTCCAGGCTCTGAGCTGTCAGCATGGAGCCCAACACTGGGCGCGAACTCACAAACCGGGAGATCATGACCTGAGCCGAAGTCGGAGGCTCAACCGACTAAGGCACCCAGGCGCCCCCCAGACGGGGATTTCTTCTCTGGGAAACCATTCCGCCAAGTCAGAACTCTGTGCCTAGGCATAAATCTAATACAGGCCGCATTCTGCCTTGCACTACATTTGCATACTAGCCTGCCACTGTCAGAGCCCAAGTCTTGGAGGGCAGGCTCACCTTAAGATCCTCATCCTTGAACAGAGCAAGAGTAGGTGCTTGATCTTAACTGAATTTCTACTACCCATAAACGTTCTTCATAGTCATTTACATTAGTCATTATTGCACTCACCACCAGTTTTATAAGCACACAGTGTCATTCAAGGTATTTATTTATTATTTATTTTTATTTAAATCCAGATTAGTTAACATATAGTGTAATAATGATTTCAGGAATAGAGTTTAGTGATTCATCATTTACACATAACACCCAGTGCTCATCCCAACAAGTACCCTCCTTAATGCCCATCGCCCATTTAGCCCATCCCCTCACTCAACACCCCACCAGTAACGCTGTTGTCCTCTCAAGCTATTTTAAAGCTCGGGTTTGATGACATGAAGTATGATAATTTGGACGACTTTAGCTTAGTGCCAGTGAGGAACAGGCTGTGGTATTAATTCCCTTCTTTTTTTTTTTTTTTTTTTTTTTTTTTTTTACGGTTTATTTTTGAGAGAGAGAGAGAGAGAGACAGAGTGTGAGCGGGGGAGGGGCAGAGAGAGAGAGACACACACACAGAATCTGAGGTAGGCTCCAGGCTTCAAGCTGTCAGCACAGAGCCCAATGCGGGGCTGGAACTCACCAACCTTGAGATCCTGACCTGAGCTAAGCCGGACGCTTAACCGATTGAGCCACCCAGGCACTCTTAATTCTCTTTTAAATTGGCATCTAAGTGAGGTCACAAACACAGAGGGCATAATTGAAACCATGTGGACGTATCATTTTAAATTATTGCCAACACACACATGCACAGGCTATCCCAATAGGTATTATTGTTTTGGATATGGACACCACGTGTTAGTTAAGCATACAGCACCAGTCAAACCAAATTATAGGGCAGTCTATCCTTCCACTGCACCGTTTATGTCACTTAAAAGCAAAGTAGTTTCCAAAGTGGTCTTAAAGCCATAGCTTACTCAGGAGTACCCTCAAAGTAACTGCACTTTATCAACTGGGAGGGTGCAGGTAATACATTGTTTAAAACGTTTTCTTGCTGGGGGCGCCTGGGTGGCTCAGTCGGTTAAGCGTCCGACTTCCGCTCAGGTCATGATCTTGCGGTTTGTGGGTTCCGGCCCTACATTGGGCTCTGTGCTGACAGCTCAGAGCCTGGAGCCTGCTTCGGATTCTGTGTCTTCCATCTCTCTGCCCCTCCCATGCTCATGCTCATGCTCTGTCTCTCAATAATAAATAAACGTTAAAAAAAAAAAGTTTTCTTGCTAAAAGTAATTTTTTAAAGTTGGAAAACAATTAACAAAAGCTAGTCTCTTAATTTTGCACTTAAGCCACTTAAATATCCTGGGTACTGCATGAAGTGTATAAAAGAAACTTTCTCCTCAATCTGCATAAATTTCCTTCCACTCAATAAATTAGGCATCTTTGGGTGATTTTAAAGTCAAAGTTTATTTTATTCATTGTTCTTGATATTTGAGGAAAACTACAATGTAAACTGGAAAATATTAACCTCTGCACTATAAAATCAAAGAAGCATTTTAATCCAAGCCCCACTAAAAATCGTAAGAAGACACTGCATGACTTTGGAAAAATTAAGAAGTGAACGTTAATATCACAACCGTGACTGGCAATTATCACCAAATCATAGCGAAGTAATGTGGTGGTACCGTTTCTTGACTTACATATGAAACCTACAACACAACTGCTCATAGTCAACACTTAAGGAAATAACTGACAGAATTATTTCTATAAGGTGGGCTTCTGTCGGGCAAGGACTATTACTCAACTTTGAGTACTCAAATTCTAACACAGTATTTGGAATAACAGTAGATGCTCAGTAATTGTTTGTTGCATTGCATTGACCTTAATTTGCAATTAACATGGTGAACTCCTGGTAATTGATCTATTACACAGTATCCTGCAGTTAGGTTGTTGTTCAAGAGGGTATTAGAAATTAGATAGTAGAAATTATCTAATTTCTAAATAGATCACAGATATTAGAAAAGGCTAGTTTAAAAAATACAACAAATGGTTCTTTTAGTCTTACTTCCCTATTTTGTGCAAAAGGATAGTGAGAATACACTGTTAAGAGCGACACCAAAATAATCTACCCATGTAGTGAACTTACACAGAACTAATGCTTATCTCTTCAAACATCCAAGGGTTTATATCCCAGTTAATTCTGGTGGGAATCTTTCCAAACATATTAAATGCTCTTCTACATTCTTAAACATGGGACACTGGGTATAATTTCACTTTATCTTTATGATTTAAGCTCATCGTCATAAGCATTCATTACTATACTAAATCAGAATTAGTTTGATTCTTTTTAACTAGGATGTGTCTGCCCTACTGGGCTCCTATCTCTCGACCAGCTTTGGATTTGCCTATTATATGCTTTCAAAGCACTGGGAATTTCTTCACAGTACTTATTACACTTGCAATTGTACATTTATTTGTGAGATTTGATTACAATGTCTCCCATACTAGATTGTATGGACCATGAGGGCTTGTACCTAGTCCAGGTTTGCTCACCACTATATTTGCAGTGCCCAGTATGGTGCCTGGTGTATTGTAGGCTTCCAGGCAATACTATATAAATGATTAAATGAACGCCTATTTCATCGTATACTCCTCTCTGCTATTTGCTGAGGGCAAGTATGGGAAGTCAGGGAATCAGTCTTTCAAAAAACTCTGTTGGAATAAAAATGAAGTCAGCCTCTACAAGAGAATAGAAGTAATCCTTCTATAGTGTATAGAACCCCAGCTTTATGGTCTTGTGGTAACTATTTTGGCTGTTAGGCTTTTCCTTCTAGTGCTTAGAAAAAGTAGAGGCTATGTGTTTAAGTGCCTCTTGGCTGTGACACCTTGGGCACTAAACCTCAATTTTCTCCTCTATAAAATGATAAAACCAACCCCAGTGGATTATTTTCAGGATTCAATAAAATAATAAAATGCTCATCACACTACCTGAAATGTGTTGGGTATTAGTCGTTACTAATTAGTTGTGTGTTACGTCTGTAATAATATGCTACCTTTCATATACGAAGATACAGTTACTGACCCATCACCAAGGCATATGTGCTCTGAATCATTTCTTCAGGAGGGGTTAAAGGATTTGCTCAGAATAGCCAGTCCATCCATCCTCTTCCCCTTACGACTAATGGTTTTCAGGAAAGCCTCATATTTTAAACTTAAATTGCTTGGCGTTTATTCATAATCTGTTTCCACTAAAAATACATATTTCTCGGGGCGCCTTGGTGGCTCAGTTGGTTAAGCGTCCAACTTCGGCTCAGGTCATGATCTCACAGTTTGTGAGTTTGAGCCCTGCGTAGGGTTCTGTGCTGACAGCTTGGAGCCTGGAGCCTGCTTTGGATTCTGAGTCTGTCTCTCTCTGCCCCTCCCCTGCTCATGCTCGGTCTTTCTCTCTCAAAAGTAAATAAACTTAAAAAAAATTTTTTTAAATACACATTTCTCTATGCTACTAGCAGTATAGTTGGTTTTTGAGATGTTAGAGATCTATTATATATCCCAAGAAGAGGTTATAGAAAATTTCAAAAAGGACAGTCCCACTGGAAATTGCTTTTTCTTCAAATAATAAAAATTTTACCTTCCCTTTTAATATTTTAAAATGCACATAAAATTCTTTTTTTTACTTTTCAGTAGCTAGTTAATTTTTTTTAAGGTTTTAAAATTTACTTTGAGAGAGAGAGGCAGGGAGAGAGAGGGAGAGAGAATCCCAAGCAGGCTCTGCACCATCAACACAGAGCCTGATGTGGGGCTTGATCTCATGAATAGGGAGATCATGACCTGAGCTGAAATCAAGAGTTGGAGGCTTAACCAACTGAGACACCCAGGGGTAGCTAATTAATTTAAAGAGGGAAAACAAAATGCTTTCCTATTACTACTGATTTTATTTTAAAGAAGAAACAATACCTTAAGCTGTGGATCTCTTGAAAGCACACCAGCACAGATTCTGTAAACCAATACTGGACCGTCAGCTTATCATGTTTATTGTAATAAAGAGTAATTTTCTTTTAAAAGTATATTACTTTCAAAATATTCCCAAAGTGCTGAATGTGCTTTTAGATGAGGATCCATAAATTTAAATGATGCATATTGTAGATTGTAGATGAATGTCTACATCTTCTATAGATTTAAAGAACAGTTTAGATATCTCAAGAATGACAAAGAAAATTAGATTTCTTCCCCCTCCTTATCTAACTCCCTAAGGATTCAAATTACAGCGCTAACTGGAAACCGTCTATCTTAACCAAGCAGTTTGTAAGGGTAACTAATAAGATACAGAAGTTCTCAACCCTGTATGTGTTGGCAAAATTAAATGACCTTTCCTTTCAGGTAACTCTGTACTTTAGGATCAAAGTTTTAACTGTTGTTGGAGACCATGGATTGATGATGCACTGCTTTGGAGTTTCTCAGTTGCTGTATCTTCCTTCACTGTGCTTTGGATGACTTCAGATACTCCATTGGATCCAAGGATGCAAGGCAAACTTAAAAACACTTCATTGTTTATATCATAATATCCCTGAAATGAAAAAAACCCCAGGGATTATGATAGAGCTAAATCACTGCAAAAAATTAATATCATAAATATGGATAGCTCCTTTGCTTTTCTAGTTCCAGTACAAGTTGAACTTCTAAAAACTTTTTTCGTTATTTAATTTTTTTAAACGTAATTTATTGTCAAATTGGTTTCCATACAACACCCAGTGCTCATCCCAACAGGTGCCCTACTCAATGCCCATTACCCACTTTCCCCTCTCCTCCACTCCCCATCAACCCTCAGTTTGTTCTCAGTATTTAAGGGTCTCTTATGGTTAGGGCATCTGGGTGGCTGAGTCGGTTGAGCATCCGACTTCGGCTCAGGTCATGATCTCACGGTTCGTGGGTTCAAGCCCCACGTCGGGCTCTGTGTTGACAGCTCAGAGCCTGGAGCCTGCTTCAGATTCTGTGTCTTCCCCTCTCTGTCCCTCCCCTGCTCACACTTGTCAATCTCTCTCATTAAATAAATAAAAACATTAAATAAATAAAAACATTTTAAAAAATCTCTTATGGTTTGCCTCCTTCCCTCTCTTTTTTTCCCCCATTCCCCTCCCCCATGGTCTTCTGTTAAGTTTCTCAGGATCCACATATGAATGAAAACATAGGGTATCTGTCTTTCTCTGCCTTATTTCACTTAGCATAACACTCTCCAGTTCCATCCACGTTGCGACAAATGGCTACATTTCATTCTTTCTCATTGCCAAGTAGTATTCCATTGTATATATAAACCACATCTTCTTTATCCATTCATCAGTTGATGGACATTTAGGCTCTTTGCATAATTTGGTTATTGTTGAAAGTGCTGCTCTAAACATTGGGGTACCAGTGCCCCTATGCATCAGCACTCCTGTATCCCTTGGGTAAATTCCTAGCAGTGCTATTGCTGGGTCATAGGGTAGGTCTATTTTTAATTTCTTGAGGAACGTCCACACTGTTTTCCAGAGTGGCTGCACCACTTTGCATTCCCACCAACAGTGCAACGGGGTTCCTGTTTTTCCACATCCTCTCCAGCATCTATAATCTCCTGATTTGTTGACTTTAGCCACTCTGACCGGCGTGAGGTGGTATCTCAGTGTGGTTTTGACTTGTATTGCCCTGATGAGGAGTGACATTGAGCATCTTTTCATGTGCCTGTTGGCCTTCTGGATGTCTTCTTTGGAAAAGGGGCTATTCATGTCTTCTGCCCATTTCTTCACTGGATTATTTGTTTTTGGGGTGTGGAGTTTGATGAGTTCTTTATAGATTTTGGATACTAGCCCTTTATCCGATATGTCATTTGCAAATATCTTTTCCCATTCCGTCGGTTGCCTTTTAGTTTTGTTGATTGTTTCCTTTGCAGTGTAGAAGCTTTTTATCTTCATGAGGTCCCAATAGTTCATTTTTGCTTTTAATTCCCTTGCCTGTGGAGGTGTGTCAAGTAAGAAATTGCTGCGGCTGAGGTCAGAGAGGTTTTTTCCTCCTTTCTCCTCTAGGGTTTTGATGGTTTCCTGTCTCACATTCAGGTCCTTCATCCATTTTGAGTTTATTTTTGTGAATGGTGTAAGAAAGTGGTCTAGTTTCATTCTTTTGCATGTTGCTGTCCAGTTCTCCCAGCACCATTTGTTAGAGACTGTCTTTTTTCCATTGGTTATTCTTTCCGGCTCTGTCAAAGATTAGTTGGCCATACATTTGTGGGTCCAATTCTGGATTCTCTATTCTGTTCCATTGGTCTATGTGTCTGCTTTTGTGCCAATACCATACTGTCTTGATGATTACAGCTTTGTAGTAGAGGCTAAAGTCTGAGATTGTGATGCCTCCCACTTTGGTCTTCTTCTTCAATATTACTTTGGCTATTCGGGGTCTTTTGTGGTTCCATACAAATTTTAGGATTACTTGTTCTAGCTTCAAAAAGAATGCTGGTGCAACTTTGATTGGGATTGCATTGAATGTGTAGATTGCTTTGGGCAGTATTGACATTTTAACAATATTTATTCTTCCAATCCATGAGCATGGAATGTTTTCCATTTCTTTGTATCTTCTTCAGTTTCCTTCAGAAGCTTTCATTATTTAATTTCTAAACTCGTTGTTTCAGAAAATTTGTGTGAAATAGGAGGAAGCTGGTCAGAGACAGCCACTTTATGTGGAGATAAGCTAGGCCCCTGCCATATGGGTAGCAGGCTGTGGGCCAAGAAAAAAGATGGTCAGAGTGGATTCCCTGGGGAGGGGCCCAGTCAAATACAGTAACCTGTTTTAAGTTTTCCTTTCCATGTTTTATTTTCATCCTGATATTCTGAAGTTTTCAAGAAAATTGGTTAAGCATTTGTGTCTTGTCTTAGCTGTGCTTTAGGGACTTTATTCTTGGGATAAAGTGGTAAAGGACAAAGTGAACTGGAGAAGCAGACTGCCAACCAGCTAAAACTAGTTAGCACATCAGTCTGGGGTGACATGGCTGGCTGAGGTGATAAATGACTTTACCAGAAGAACCAGAAGAGCTTTATGGAATACATAAACGTTTCTTGAGGCTTCTCCAAAATTACATGGGGGTGAGGGGCAACCTGGTAGAAATCCAGACTTCCCGTAACCAAGCAGATAGAGTTGAGACCAAACTCTCTTCCAGTGTGTTACCCTAAAAGCTAATGACATTGAAGACACCTGGGATATAGTCTGAGCAGCACTTTTTCTGAATTTATATTAATAATATAAAAGTTTAACATATGTAGAGTATAAAAACAGCAGTTACCTTTGCTAAAATTGATACAGAATGTACTTTCTTTTTATCATTTACAATACTGTCAACCAGGTCAGCCACTGATAGTCCAACAGACCAGGATCTTTGACCTTTTACCCGTAACACCTCCATGGCTCTAGGTTGTCAAAAAAATAAATAAATAAAAAATAAGTAAATCTCAGAAAATGCACAAATATGCACAGTTTTACATTGTATAAGGTCTTAATTAGATGTATTTTTATTCAGAAATAAGACTTCTACAGCAATTGTTAGGAAAGCCTACAGATAATCTAATGACTAAATTTTTCTTAAAATGTCAGGAAGGTAGTTCACAGAGAGAAAATACAAATGGCCTAATAACATAGAAAGAAGCTCACCTCTACCAATATTCAACTACATATGGGTTAGAACAATACACCACTATTGCCTATCAAAATTGGCAAATTTAAGAAGATTGATACCTACTTTTGGAGAAGCTCCAGAGAAACAGGCATTCTCTTAACTGCAAGTTGAGTGATACAGTCTTTTAGGAGGAAGATTTAGTAACAACCGATCTAGAAATTCCCCTTCAGGGATTTTATTCCACTGCAATATGCTCAAGTATGCAAATATATGCATGTTTGTCTTGGATGAGACAGAAAAAAATTCTGGAAACAACTCATCAAAAGAGCACTCGTTAAATAAATCACTATCCAAATGTAGTACTGTATAGCCCTGAAGAGGAATAAAGTAGATTTATATGACCAATATGGAAACATTTCCAAGATTTATTATTAAGGAAATGAAGCAAGTTGCAAGATAATATGAATAGCATAAACTTCTCAGTATGCAAGTAATAAAAATAATAATGATAGTTTGCATAAGCACTGGAAAAATGTTTGGACACCTGGACACTAAACTGTTAACAACAGTTGTCTCTGAAGAATGGGATACTCCCAGCTTTTCGCTTTCTACTTTATAGATATCTGCAGTATTTGAAGTTTTATAATAGCAAACATTCTCTATGTAAAAAATAAAAAATGATTTACGTTAAATAAACATGTTTGAATTTCTTCCTTTTACAATTTCTTCCTTACATATGCAGGATTAGGTAGAGAATCAGATTAGAATGGATTATACAGTACACTACTCTTCTCAGTAGGAGAATATTCTTTCCAGTGGTGACAGTCTAAAAACCTTAAGCTGAAGGTTTAGAAACCTAAAAGTCTTGGGGCGGCTGGCTGGCTCAGTAGGTTGAGCATCCAACTTCAGCTCAGGTCCCGGTTTCATGGTTCATGGCTTTGAGCCCTGCATCGGGCTCTCAGGAGCCCACTTCAGAGTCTCTGTCTCCCTCTCTCTCTCTGCCTCTCCCATGCACCTGCTCACTCTCTCTCAAATATAGACATTAAAAAAAACCTTTTAAAGCTAAAAGTCTACACCATTCAAACTGCAGAAATGTATGTGATTATGTGATGACGGGAAAACAGATGGCATAAAAATACATGGTGCATGGGGCACCTGGTGGCTCACTTGGTTAAGCATCTGATTCGATCTCAGCTCAGGTCTTGATCTCAGGGTCGTGAGTTTGAGCCCCGCATTGGGCTCCACGCTGGGTGTGGAGCCTACTTAAAAAATACAATACGTGGTGTGTGGAGTACAACCTGTAAGGCACGGACCTTGGAAGGTGTCTGATCAAAGGCAAAAATACAAGGATCTATGCATTACACTTTTGTTTTTGCCTGAACCTATAATATGGCTTATCCACTCATATTAGACTAGTTCCCAATTAACACATGTTAATTTTAAGTGGTATGGACAAATTCTACGTTAAGAAAATTCTTTTTTTAATGTTTATTTTTGAGAGTGAGAGAAACAGAGAGAAAGAGAGAGAGAGGGTGAGAGAGAGAGAGAGAGAGAGAGAGAGAGGGAGAGAGAGGAGAGAGAGGGAAACACAGAATCCAAAGCAGGCTCTGTCTGGGCTCCCAGCTGACACGGGGCTAAAACCCACGACTCACGAGATCATGAGCCGAAGTCAGATGCTTAACCGACTGAGCCACCCAGGCATCCCTATATTAAGAAAATTCTTAATATCCTCAGATGTTGACATATCAAAGTAGGAAATCACTGACTACAAATAGGAAACCTCTTCCACCCTGTATGTGTCCACTGAATATCTGAAATAAAGTTTGCAAAGCACTCTTGTATCTACTTTTAGATAAGAAATCAAAGAGGGGAAAGCACTGCTCCTTTGTACTTTAGAGTTGCCCATACTACCTAGTTTTGTTTGAGGAAGACTGGTAAAGCAATGCTGTGTACACAGTTGTTATCATGGGAGCTATGAAGTATGTGATTTTCGGTTGGGTAAATGCAGATTGATGCTCAGTGTTACCTGTTGGACAACTGCACTTGAGAGTTATGACTCATCACTTCTTCTTGGCCACCCCATGTGGGCACTAAAATTAAAGGAAAAATTAATTATACTTTGCCAACAACTCCCTTAGGACTAAGATGTCATAAATGATCATTTGCAGTCAAGGGTATCTGTATTCAACCTGAAACGCTTTCCCCCTTTCTAGCAATAGTTAGTTTTCCACTGGGCTTACTGTGCCAAATGCTTGGGGCCTGCAATCCTCCAAAAGACGTGATCCCCTGAGCCTATCTGCGGCCTCCTCACCTGTGCTCTCTCATCAACCCTGGTTCTACAAGGGCAGTGTACTGTCCAAGCAGAAAGTTTTCTTTTCTCAGCAGGCTGCATTGAAAGCACTTGGCATTTGCTCCACTTGGAAATAACACGGAGATTCATTTCGTTCACCAGGTGAGGAATAATTCAGTCACCTATTTTGGCTAGGCTTCCACAGCTGTTAGAGAAGCAGGGTCCTACTTGCTAAGAGGACCTTTCCAGCTACCATTTCATCTCACTATAGCATTTACAAAAACAATTCAAAAATTCAAAACTGTGCACATGAACTATTTACACCACATTTTAATATTAAATAGAAATTGCCAGAAGCATTTTGAAACCCCTTCTAACGGTCATCTATTTCTCGTGTGTGAAGACAATTATTTGATAAAAATCCGTACTTGGGCAGGCAAAACAAAAATACATTTGAATATATAAGACTATGTTTAAGATACAAGTCTTCTAAACTGCATTCAAAATTAGGTCATTTAGCGACAGGTCAGCAACAAAGGACACCCTATGTATCCAGACGACTCTTCTTCAAGCTCATTATAAGCTTGCAGGGGGTAGGGGCCATGTGTTCTTTTGTTTCCTCTCACACATTTTTACCACAGTAAAGAATACACAGGAGATGATGCAGAACCGACTTCACGCACAATCCATTATTATATTAACAAAGAGGAAAGCATACTTGCAACAGTTAAATCGAAAACTACGAAAAAAAATAAAAAAAATAAATCGGAAACTATGGAAAAGTTTAAAAGTTTTTATGTTAAAGAAAAAGCAAAACCAAAATTTGTTATATGAAAAATACAAATATATGTGGACAGATTAAGGGAATTAAAAAAAATGTTTTACTTGGACAGAATGGTTATATGTGAATTTTTTTCTAAAAAATTGTGCATTATTGGTATATTCACAACAGGTAGAAAATTGGGGAAATATCTGTAAATGCTGTACTTCAACATTCAGCATGAGATGAATAAAAGGGGCAAGGGAGGAATAAGAGAAGACTCAGAAAGGACACAAAAAATCTGAAATTTAATTATGAGAGAGGGAGAGAGAGAGAGAGAGTGAGTATCACATTCTTTCCTCTCTACGCCCTGACTTATTAGAGCCATAAGGAAAGAATGGAGAGAAGGGGAGAGCTTCACTATGTTCAACTTTGCTTATGACACAGTTATTAGAATTTTCAATTAAGTTCAGATGGACTTTTTTTTTTTTTTTTTGCTCATTTACTGCCCAGTCCTTCAAACTTCCTAAATATATGTTCAGCCTATTTTAAGGAGCCCTTTCAAATATTGTAACTAATCAATCCTGATCTTTCTGGCTCCATTCTTTAAGAACAACAATCCTCTGGCCCCCAAATTTTAATGAACAGTGACCATGGGATGACTCTTTCCCTTGTGTAAGACAGATGACCAAAGCAGATGACCTAACAGTCTGTTCTGAGGTCCAACCCTCAGATTAATCATCATTTGAAGGAGTTATTTACAGTTTACATATGATGTTAATATCACAGCTGAAAATAGCAGCTCCAAAGCATATTTCTGCTGACTATCTAATTTGGGGGGGTGCATAATATGAATGATCTTTGGTCACAAGATAGTATCAACATCATTCATTCCTTTCAAAACACTTTTATTGAGGCCATGCCAAGGTCAAGGAGCTTTTATAGTCTGCTGGAATAAACAGACAGGTAAATATGCAGTTATAACATAATGTGATAATGGTTAAAACAGAGTCATGAACTTACTTAACCTGGAGAATTAGGGAAGGCTTCCTGGGAGAGGTGGCACTCAAGCCCAGTCTGAAAGGGTAAGTAGGAGTTAGCCAAGTTCAGGTTAGAATGGAAGGAAGAATCAGGTGCAAAAGCAAGGAGGCATGAGAGTGTACGAATCATTTAGAAAACTGTAGGCTGACCACCTGACTAGCATAGAAGGCCTGGCAGAATGGTGGAAGATGAAACTGGCAAGGGAAGCAAGAAACTGACCGTAAAGAGTTTTGTATGTCATGGGATTCTTCCCCCAGGCTATAGCTGCCATTTACCTCTGAAATACTTAAAGAGAATTCATTTTATTTGCACACCTGCCATCTTACAACTGTTTCCAAATCCTAATGCTGCTTTACTTCAAAGAGTAGTTTTACGTGTCCTTTTGCCAATTTTCTATTCATCACTGTCTTGTCGATTGCTGTAACAGAAACTACCATTTACTGAGTGTTTACACTATCCCAGATACTGTTCTAAATGCTTTAGATAAATTATCTAATTAAGTCACAGCAAAGAAAAAGCACAGCTCTGAAGTCAGACCAGGGTGCAAATCTTACGAGATATGTAATCTTGGGCAAATAACTTAACTTCATTGTCTTAAGCTTGCTCATCCATAAATTTGGAAAACCCCCATCTCCTTTACAGAGTGTTTGTAAATTTTAATGAGATACGCAACATATTTAATACACATAGTAGGCTTTCAATAAATTATAATTGCTATTATTGTGGTGATGTCACTTATGCAAAAATATAACCAGTTGATGTCTACACATGAAACCAGCAGAGGGAGCCTCTATCCATTTCTGGCTTCAATGCCAAGGTAAGTATACCTATTATGGATATATCTATCTCTGAAACAAAATACAAGACAGGATAAAAAGTGATTTGATGGTGGTGTCTAGACGGGACACAGGGAGATGGGTTGGCGAGAACATTGGTAGCTTCAGTCATATTGGTAATGTTCTTAATTGAGCACAGATTCATGAATATTCTACTATTATGCTTTAACACACATAATTTTTTTATATATGCCAAATAGTACAAAATATTATATTTTAGTGATCCTAATGCATGTGTACCTACATCCCTCTACCTCTTGTTCCCATTTGAGGTTCAACACAGAACTACCATATCCCTTCCTTGTATTTTTATCTTACTTCCCTTGGATCTCTCTCATAGCAAGTTAATGCTGCCTTTCATTATAGTCATTTTCTGTGTTAGATCTAAGCTTCCTAAAGATATAGTCAGGTTCTTACACATCTGTATAGCTCCAATAGCAGATAGCACTGTGCCTTCGGCTTATTTATCAAGTTGCACTATCCTTTATTTTCTCTTTACAATTTGAAATATTAATATAACCATATTGTGAAATATTTTTACTCATTAAAAAATCATAACTTATTAGGGAAACTGGCTAAATAAATTTTGACATATCCAGTAGTTTAAAAGAATGAGTGAGATCTATATATGTCATTATGCAACCATTCCCACGTCATGTCAATAAATAAAAGGGCAAGGTGCAGGATGATGTATGTCTATTTCAGACATGTGCTTATCTATGCACAGAACATTTCTGGAAGGCTACATAAGAGACTGGTAACTGTGACTGAATCTAGGGAGAGAGCCTGAGTATCTGGCATCAATTGGAGACTTATTTTTTACTGCATAGATCTTTTTGTACTATTTATTTTTTTGTAATGTGACTGTATGACTTTTCCAACTAAAAGAACAGCTTAATAATTTACACTTTCAATAAGAACATATGCACAGAAAATACTCAAATTGGATCAGAATAAACAGCAGTTTAACAAAAGAATAAACATCACGTTTATTGGTTATATGGTTAATTACCATATAGCTAGCAACAGATTTAAGGGGTGAAGAAATCACTGTGGAGTGATGTGATCAGGAAAGGCTTCACAATGTAAAACAAGGTCTAAGGAAAGGCTTCACAGTGTGAGTAAGGAGGGCTTGACCTAGACCTCAAAGGATGAGATTTGAGTATCTGGAGAAAGGGGAAGAAGGGCAAAGTTCCCTGGGGCTGAAGCAAAGCTGTGGGGTGGGGCTGGGAGGCACAACACCTGGGTTTTAGTCCTTCTTTGACCCTAAAACTATAGGCTCTTGGGCAAGTCACTCTTACCATCCCTGTATCCATTGCTGGGTCCCTAAAACAAAATGTAATCAGTGATCCGTTAGGTCCCTTCCAGCTCTCAAATAATATTACTACATCCTTAATTATAATTGGGAAAGAAGATTAGGGCTAGATTTGGGGACATCTTGAATGCCAAGCAAAGGAATTTAATAGTTTGGTCAGAGGAAGCCAGTGAAAGTTTTTGAAAAGAGGAGTATGATTTAGCAAGACTGAATTAACACATGAAAGCATATAGTACAATTTTGGCTAATATCATTATTAACTTGGCATCATATTTACAGGGTAGACAAGAGGGGAAATAGCAAACTAAATTGGGAGATCTGCAAGAATCAGAGAAGCAAGACATAAGCATGGCCCAGAACTCAAATGGCACTACTGAGTAAAATATGGGGTCTCAGGTTTGTTTGCAGCCCTAGAGATTCATTACTCTAAGTCATCTGCCCCAAGTTTTTGCTTGCTATCCTTTTCTAGGATCCTATTGATTAGCGTTTAGTGTCAGGGAGCATTTTGAACTTGAAAAGTCATTCTACTCAATCACAGTGTTGGGTTTTGTAAAGGTTTATTCTACAACCTGACTCCTTCTAGTATTGAATTTTCTAGGTAGCCAGTACCAATTTACACAGATTTAAATACTTTTGTATTTTATTAAAATTTTCTCAAAAATTATACAAGTACTATATGTCCATAGTGACAAAATTAGAAAACACTGACAAATACAAATTTTTAAAAGTTACCTTTAAGCCAGTTTTAACCACTGTTAATATTTTGTTTTAATGACATCAAAGCATATAGGAACCTTTAAATTCTAAGGAAATAGTTTTGAGAAGGTGATTTGCTTTGTGGCACTGTGGACTGACTCTCATTTAACTTTTAGTGTGCATGGTCTTTTTCCAGATCTCCAGTTAAAAGATCACCTCCTCATAGGCAGAGAAGTTCTTTTTCACATTGTGCTCTACCCCATAGGACCTACATGCTAAATAAAGCAATAGTAACAATAGTGATGTCATTTAAATGATGAAACAATGATTAACTGCCCCCAAATTACCTTTTCAACATATCAGTCTCATGCTCAAATACCTCTAATGCGTTCCCTCTGCCTGAGAATCACTTTCCAACTCTTCAATCAGGTATTCAAGGATCTCCAAAATGTGATTTCACCCAGGCTTATCTGGTTGAAATTCTCTGCGACATCTAGTTTAGATTTTTTTTTTTTATCCCACGCACATGCCATACTTAACATACTATGTGCCTTTGTCTGCTTCTGATTTCCCATTCCTGAAATATCCTTCCCACTCTTTGCTCTCTATTCAAATCCTATTCATTCTTTCAAAGTCCAGTTCAATAACGGCCTGTACAGAATTTTCTCCAGTCATTTCAATTCAGGTTAAATGCTCACTCATAAGCTAAGCACTGTAAGTCTATAATACTCATTCTGGCACTTAATGAAATACTTTCCTATGCTTTCACTGTTAGCTAAAATATCATGTAAATATTTTTCTTACCGTTCTAAAATAATTTTTAAGTATGATGAAGAAAGAGATCATGCTCTATGCCTCTTTTATTTCATACTAACATTCTATACAGTAGTGAGTACAGAGTAGGCACTTATACAGTTGTTTAAATAAATAAAAAAGAACAAAATGAGGATAAAGAGCACTTCTGTCACCTGACCAACCTCACTTTATAGCTTAAGGGAAACAGTAAAGGAGTAAAAGGAAGAGATTCTCAAGTTGAATAGGGAAAGTATTCTTTTGGGATAGGAAAGGGGCTTTCCAGTCTGAGGAATGGAATGCTTTTTGTGGTAGGAAGAGAACAAGTGGCTGGTGAAAAAGGCCATGAAGATAAAGAAAGGGTGAAAACCCTGTTTAAAAAGGTGAGAAGCAGACAGGGAGGGTGGTACCTAGGAAGAAAGTCTGAACTTAGGAAACATAAGCAACAACGAAGTGTGGGGAGAATAAAGGAAAGTGTTCTATATATGCTTTAGGGTTTTTTTAAACGTGGCTCTCTAGAAAATGAAACTTTCAAATTAATCCTGGACTCTGAAACTCAACTAAAAAATATGAAACTAATCTTAAACTTACAGAAAAGTAAGTAAATGAGAATGACATACTTGAAGAGTCTACTCACAATACAGGGCCTATAAAACAAAAGCCAAGTAAGTGCAACTATTCTGGAATCTTCAGATATATCTGAATATCATGGCCTCTGGTGACTTAGGTTGTCAATATAATGAATTAAAATATATTTCTTACCTTTGTCTTCTCCCTGCTCACCAATAACCCATACTTGTTTTCCTGACATTTGTGCCTTCAAAACATTTGTAATAATGTACTGTAATCTCTGTGAATCCAGATTACATCCAATTCCAATCACTCGATTTGTAGGAAATGCACTCAGTTTCCACGTCACATAAGTCATGATTTCCACTAAATATTGCACACAAGGTGAAAATGTAAAGATTTTAAAAATACACTTCTAGCCTAGTTCTCATAAACAAAATATTTATTATTAAAAACTTTTTTAATGTTTATTTATTCTTTGAGAGAGAGACAGAACACGAACAGGGGAGGGGCAGAGAGAGGGAAACACAGAATCAGAAGCAGGCTTCAGGCTCCGAGCTGTTAGCACAGAGCCCGACGCAGGGCTTGAACTCATGAACTGCGAGATCATGACCTGAGCTAAAGTCGGACGCTTATGCGACTGAGCCACCCAGGTGCCCCAAAATATTATTACTTTAATGAGCATAGTAGAGCTTCTACATATTTTTCTTAGGTCCCAAATGCACTTTGAGGCATTTTTAATGTATATTAAAAACACTAACCAGGTTTCAACATGATTTTACATAACTTTGTTGTTTAAATTAAGAGTGGAAAATAAATATTTTCCTAGTTAAGTAAGAAAGATGAAAAATGGGTATAGAAAGCCAGAAAAGAATGTTTGTTTTTCATCGACCAAGTTCTCTTTTATATCTTTTTTTCCTTTCTTTAAAAAAAATTTTTTTTTAATGTTTATTTATTTTTGAGAGAGAAAGAGAGCGTGAGCAGGGAAGGGGCAGAGAGGAGAGGGAGAGAGAATCCCAAGCAGGCCTTATGCCGCCAGCATGGAGCCCAATGCGAGACTTAAGCTCACAAATCACAAGATCATGACCCGAGCCAAAACCAAGAGTCAGATGTCCAACCCCCTGAGCCACCTAGGCGCTGCTCTTTTATATCTATCTTAAGGTGAATTTCTATTGTTAAATTAAAATAATGATCATATACTCCCACTATGCAGTGCAACATTATGAACAGCAAAAACACAACTACTTTTTTCTGCCATGCCAAAGGGATGTCAGGAATTAAAGAGACTAGTGTCCCTCAAACAATTACTACAGAAAAACAATCAAAATGTACACCATACCCTTATACTGGGAACATTAAGAAACTCTGTTCGCTAATTTGAGTTCGATACCACCCAATTCTTTGATAATACTTCTTTTTCTTAGTAAACCAGTTCCCAAAACACTTTGTAATATACAAAAAGTTAGGAACACAGTGGCACGCCCACTAGCATTTTACAACACTTTAGAATTAACAAAATATCTTTCATATAAGCCACTGCATTTTTCTCTTTGGTGTTTAACCATTTTCTCACTGAAGGAGACATGGCCAACAACCTGGAACAGAATGATGGTGATCTGTCACAAAAAATCGTTCAGGTAAAAGCTTCTAGTTAATGCCAGTAATAAGAAGTAACTGGTTGACCGGATATGGACGTACCATATTGTTCGGTATAAGAGCAATTTGAATAGTCTAGCTGCCCTTTTATAATCTAGTTTTATGACTTTTATCAGTACTGGCAATTATATTGATACATTGGACCATCAGAGTAATTAAAAATAAAACTATTTACCTGGTTGAGATGCAACAAGCAGGATACCATGTTGACTATAGTGTCCCAGAGCTGGGACAAGGGCTCTGAACATATCCACATTGCTTTGTACCACATCAAGGTAGGACTGAGAACTACCCAAAGAGTTGACTGTGAAGATCACCACCTTGGAATGAGCAGAGGCAGACAAATCTAATGAATAAAAAGAAACAGTCTGAGCTCAAGATCTAGGTTTTCGTCAAGTTCTTGTTCTTGTTTTCCTGATTCTTTTCTACAAGTGGAGAGCCTTTAGGTATATTTGCCTCCAGATCAATCCATATCCATAGAAATATACAGAGTGCTGAGGTTTGCTTCCAGAAAGGTGATAAAGAGCAAGAGTGTATCCCAAAGGGAGAAAGAGAACAAAGGGGGATAAAGAAAATAAACTACAGGACTCAGAAGCTAAAAACAAGGGCTTAAGTTTTTTCTGTAATGCACAACTTTCCTACGAAAAATAAGTAATGTGCTATAGGCAAAATGAACCTATAATCAATTAGGTCACTGAGTTTTAAATTGTGAGTTTAGGAGCCTAGAGTTCCTTGACAGTGACTCACAGGCCATGTGGAAGGAGTGGGAATAAGTGGAAAGAAGGCTGGTAGGCACAGCTCCATGCTGTTTACTTTGACCTCTCTAAGCAGAGTAGTTCTGCTTGCATCTGTTTTACTTATGAAGGATTCTACTCGAAAGAGGAAAAAAATGGTCAGAAAATCTTTAAATCAAGGTAAAATGTCTTAGCTCATTTTTTACAGACTTTTCCTTATACTGAAGCCAGTATCCTTGGTTTTAGGTTCCTCTTTCAATGGGACTAGGTAAGCAACTGTTACGACTTAAGAGAAGTTGTTCTCTAGAGTTCGCTCCTCTGATCCTGAAGCACACAACATGCAATTTTACAACTACATCACTCTCTATTACACAATGTGCTCTATAGTTAAGTACATGTCAAAACAGCGGCCAGACTTTATCAGCATCAGAGACAACAGAAAAATAACACAGTAGATGGCATTAGTCAACATTTGTAAATTAATATTAGCATCCCAGGGAGACAAGTAGATTCCAGTGTTTATATTCTTAATTAAGCCCCTACGGCCATCTCTCTAAACCAGTTTCAGAAGGAAACACTTGTGCAATATATCCTCTGGGAAATGTACTTTCCAAGTTTAGCTCCTATTCTGATGCTGTTGTGGGGATAGGAGATCCAAAAGCTGAGTCCTGGATTTTAATGATGGTTCTTCATGAGTACTCTTAAATAATTCCTGTTGGAATTCCTGTTGGAATTCCTGTTCTAGTGTTTAGAGTAGATACCTGGTGATGAATCAAAACCTCAAGAGTTGGAAGGTATATAGTTAACACTTCCAGACCACTTCTATATGCCAGGTACTATTCTAAGAGCTTTCTATGTATTTACTCATTTAATCTAATCTACAACACACTATGGGGTCATAGCCCCCATTTTGCAGACAAGGAATATGAGGCACAGATGAGTAACTTACTCAGTTGTAGAGCTAGCAAGTATAAGACCCAGAATTCAAGCCCAGGCAGCCTGGCTGTAGAGTACTGTTAAACACCATGCTATGTTTAGAAACTGAGCCCAAAACCCTCATAAAGACGAGGAAACTGATGTTTACAGAGATTAGGTGACTTGTCCATATTATCAAATTACCAGTGAACAGTTCAATTTATGATCTTAAAATTTGGTCCCAACCTATTTTGCGAGGATCATTTTATTTTCTTTCCCCCTTTAGCTTTCTCTACTTTGAATGATACATATACCCTTGCCCTCAAGGTTGCCTCATGAATAAATAAAGTAGTAGCTGTCTAAAAGGATTTCAAAAGTACAAGAAAGGCTTCCTACTCCATAAGGTTTCCTAAGCTCCCAGGCCTTTTATTCTCTTCCTTTGAGCCTAGAAGCTAGTATTTCTTGTACTCTCCTAGGTAAACCTTTGGCTTAAGTAGAATTGGTCCCTATTCTTCCCCACTATGTTTCTCCCACTTTCCCGATAAGCACTTTACTCAAATTCTTTCTTTCTTTTTTTATGTTTATTTATTTATTTTTGAGAGACAGCATGCACATGAGCCAGGGAAGGGCAGAGAGAGAGGGGGACAGAGAATCCCAAGCAGATTCCGTGCTGTCAGTCCAGAGCCTGACACAGGGCTCAAACTCACAAACCATGAGATCATGACCTGAGCCAAAACCAAGAATCGGATGCTTAACCGACTGAGGCACCCAAGCGCCCCTCAAATTCTTTCTAGCTGGAATGTTTCTCACTTCACTCACCACATGCTAGGTAGATATCTGTTTAACTGTCTACTACATTCAACATGTTATGAGCTCTGTGAGAGCAGGGACTTTCCATCTCCAAGATCTAGATACTTAGCAACAGCTACATGCCCCCAGGGCACCCCTGGACCCTTTTATTATACCATACACAAAAACAAACTTAAAATGCATTAAAGACCAGGGGTGCCTGGGTGGCTCAGTTGGTTAAGTGTCTGACTCTTGGTTTCAGCCCAGGTCACGAAATCAGTTTTGTGAGTTCAAGCCCCGTGTCAGGCTCTGCACGGCAGCACGGAGCCTGCTTGAGATTCTTTCTCTCCCTCTCTCTCTGCCCCTCCCCCACTTGTGCTATCTCTGTCTCTCTCAAAATAAACTTAAAAAAACCTTTTTAAATGGACTAAAGACCTAAATATGAGACATAAAACCATAAAATTCCTAGAAGAAAACATAAGCAGTAATTTCTTTGACATCAGCCACAGATCTATTTTTCTAGATAGATCTCCTCTAGTAAGAGAAACAAAAGCAAAATTAAGCTATTGGGTCTACACCGAAATAAAAAGTTTCTGCACAGTGAAGAAAATGACCAACAAAACAAAAAGGCAACCTACTGAATGGGAGAAGATATTTGTAAATGATGTAACTGATAAAGCATTAATATCCAAAATATATAAAGAATTTATGCAACTTGGGGCACCTGGTGGCTCAGTCTGTTAAGCATTCAACTTTGGCTCAGGTCATGATCTCACGGTTCATGAGTTCAAGCCCCACATAGGGTTCTGTGTTGACAGCCTCAGATTCCGTGTCTCCCTCTTCTCTCTGCCCCTCCCCTGCTCACTCTCTCTCCCTCAAAAATAAATAAACATTAAGAATTTATGCAACTCAACACCAAAAAAACCATCAATCCAATTAATAGGGAGTGGACAAGAATAGACATTTTTCCAAAGAAGACATACAGATGGCCAACAAGACACATGAAGAGATGCTCAACATTGCTAATCAGCAGGGAAACGCAAATTAAAACCACAAAGAGATATTACTTTACACTTGTCAGAATGGTTAAAATAAAAAAGATGAGAAATAATAAGCATCGCGAGGACATGGAGAAAAAAGGAACCCTCATTCAGTGTTGGTGGGAATGTGAACTGGTGCAGTCACTGTGGAAAATTAGTATGGAGCTTCCTCAAAAAAGTTAAAAATAAACTTACCATATGATCTAGTAATTCCACCACTAGGTATTTACCCAAAGAAAAAGAAAACACTAATTCAAAAGGATCTATATTTATTGCAGCATTATTTACAGTAGTCAAGACATGAAGCAACTCAAGTGTCCATCAATAGATAAATGGATAAAGATTGTATATATATATGTGTGTGTGTGTGTCTATACATATACATATGTACATATACATATATGCATATATATACACATACATATACATATATATACACACACACATATATTTACACACACACATACATATACAGAACACACACACAATGGAATATCACTCAGCCATATAAAAGGATGAAATCGTGCCATTTATAACATGGATGGACTTACAGGGTATAATACTAAGTGAAATACGTCAGAGAAAGACAAATGTAGAATTTAAGAAACAAAGCAAATGAACAAAGAAAAGAAACAAGAAAATCAAACAAACAGAGGGTTACCAGAGCAGAGATCAGTGGATGGAATCGGTGAAGTAGGTTAAGAGTAAGCTTATCTTGATGTAAGAGTAGGTGAAGGCAGTTAAGAGTAAGCTTATCTTGAGGAACACTAAAAAACGTATAGAATTGTTGAACCACTATATTGTACACGTGAAACTAATGTAACACTGTATGTTAATTATACTTAAATAAAAAATAAAATTAAGTTTAAAAGAAGTTGCTGACTTAATATGGGGAAAAAAGATTGTACAGTTGTAAAGAAAGTTAAGAACCTTAAGCGTAATTATGTGAAGATATGATATCATTTACAAGGTTAAGGATCATAATAAAAGTTTATTCAATAACAATTAGTTCAATATACCTCTGCTAAGGTTCCTGTCATGCCAAGCATAATTATACCAGGCCCTAAGAACACAAGGTTAATGACATATTGTCCTTGCCCTAGATATAATACGGTAGGGCTCAAGGGTTAGAATGGAGGGCTTCAGAGTGAGATTGCCTGCTCCAAATCCTAACTTTACCACTTACTTAATTAGCGTAGTGATGTCTCCTCCTGGGTCAGGGGTGCATCTGGACCTCCAGGACAGAAAACTCTTACCTCTATCCCAGCTGCATAGGTAGCCCAGAAAAACTACATCCTTCCTGCCAAGCCACTGGTTCCCAAACAACAGGCCCTAGACCAGTGCTTGTTTAGTTATAGTAGGGGATATCAATCCATTATCAAGCATGTCAAAAGACCCAGCAAATACTTCATGCTCCGATATAGCACTGTTCTCAGATTATGAGGATGATGTTGATGAATGAAATACACACTGATTTTAAATCACTGCTGAATTATTTTATTCAAAACCATGGAAAATCAATCAAATAACAATGTCCAAATGCTGTGGAGACCTCACTGAAGTATTCTAGCTTAGTATTATCATTCTGAATATACTGGAGACAGTACAAATATTTTCATTTCTCTGGTATATTGCTAAACCATTCTAACTGTAATAAAAATTACATAAAAATATGTTCCTTTCAAATTATTTTTCTCTAGGACACAAAATTTTAGAAATGATGATGACCCTTAATTTAGAAATTGTGTTAAGTTGATAGCTACTAAAAATCTTCCTATGTTGGCAGGGGAGGGACTACCAAAGAATGACTTCTCAGTAGCTTTGGGCATTATTTCAGTCAATGACTGGAAGGGATATTTTTGTCTGAT